TACCCTGTTCCTCATCGTCTGTGTTGAGTCGCATTTCATCGCTGAACTCGGCGAGATTAATGGTAGCCCCTAGACTAAGAATCAGACTTTCCAGAGTCTCTGTTCGCTTCTCAGATGCTGCTCCTGAGTTGAGCGATTGGAACCGCTCGATGATGGAGAGTATAAGCGGCTGGATGAATGACTTTGCAGAGAAGTATTGACAGGCTTTCGGCTTGTTATTGGTGAGATTCATGCAGAGTTTGACGGCTAGCATGGTCGAGGCTGCTGCATCGGTATCAAGAAATCGGGGCATGAAGCCTGCAATGTGCTCGAGGACGGTAGTAGGCCATGCGGCTTGTTTCTGTCTTGTGGCTGAGACCGACTCGAGCGTTGAGAGGACCATGAGTAGGATTGCTTCGTCTTCTGGCCCTCCCTCCTTGTTCTTTAGACGTTGGTCTGATGTTGTGGCAATTTCAACTAGCTGTGAGACTGTTTGCTGATCAAGCAGGACATCAGTATTGCCAGCTTTGCGGAGCCCGATAACTAGCAACTCGATAGCCTTCATCGACACAAGCTGCGGCGTCACCTTATTTGTCGTTGCAGGCACCCACATGGAACATTGCTGCACCAGGCTGCGGAGACTCATCACCGCATCTTTGGCTATCTTTGACAGATTCGTCTTGCGATCCCTTGCAATCTTCTGAATGTCCGCGTCCTTCCCAAGGAGCTTGGTCAAGTTGCCGAGAATGCCATTGTCATGCACTTGGTCCAGAACAGTGTAGCTAGGCTTGGTACGCAGGATCAAGACAATGACGACAGCGACAGCAAAATCAAAGATAATCTCTCCTCCAACAGAAATATTGCGGAAGAACTGGTGGGCCAACGGCGAGTCAAGGAGTTGACTACAAAACGTCTCGTTGGCCATCTTGGTACACAATTCCATCATGGCGCTTCGCCGTATGCTGCTCGAAGTGGAACTCGAAATATCGTCAATCATCGACTGTGCCTCCTGCTGGAACACATAATTGCGCCCTCGGCTCTTCAGCTCATGATGAGCTTGTGCTTGGCTTGCCGCGTCAGGCTCGTCCTCTGACACAGATACAGTATCTCTAGATTGCGAGTGGGCGCCAAAATCATCATCCAGGTCCATGGTGATTAACAGATCATCTTCTGGGTTGGCTTCCCGTAGATATGATCGTGACATGGCGTACGTGAGCTTGGGTCGCATACCATACCCAGAAGTGCCCTGTGACGTTTGCGATTCGCCATTTGCTTGCACATCAACATCCATGTCGTCAGAGGCAGAATTGGCTACCGGGCGTGCACTCACGGGTGTTTGTGCAGGCTGCTGTGTATTTCGGGCATCATCTTGACCTTCTTCCAATTCACTTGTGCCTTCGCTGCTACTCTCGTCCTCTTCCTCATCTGAGCTGCTGTCGGCCGGCTTGAGTGTATCGATGAGCCTGGTCTTGCGGGCTTCAGCACTGTGTGTAATATCGGATTTCGATCTTGACAGGCTACCAATGAGCGATTTTGGTTTCTTGTCTGTCAACTGCAGACTAGATATGCTAGGCATCGGTGTACCTGGCGGTGAACAGTCGCCCAACAAGCCGCCGAAGAGAGTCCTTTGTCGTGGGGTTGTTGAGCCAGCTACAGAGGCCTTTGGTGCACGAACAGGTGTGGTGAGTGGATCTGGAATATCATACATGGTCTGATCGTCTAGTTCAGAAGCTGAAGGGGCTTCGGCTATAGGAGATGGCTTGGCTGGTTGGCGATTGGGAAGCATACTGCTAAGCATCGCTGGCGAGGATTGTCCCTTGATTGTTTTCGGTGGTCCCAGTACTGGTACAGTACGTTGGTTGGTCCTCCTGGCTTTATTGGCCATTGATGCTGTAGATTGTACCACTGCAGATTGAGTCTTGCGGGAGGTGCTTGCATTTGTCTGAACCTGTGGTGCGTATCCCGGAGAATCATGGCCTTCTTTCTTCTGAGACTTGCGACTCCGTGGAGGAACAGAGCTTTCAGCCTTCTTGCGTGATGTTGACTTGGCCACAGTAGCGGTAGAGGAGACGGAACCTCCACGCTTCCGCTTCCGTGACTCGCTCGAATCGTCCGACTCTGAGCCCTGTTTTTGATTGACCTGAAATGCTGGTGGAGGTATCTTCGCGGGCTCCTTCTTCTTTACTGCTTGAATTTGACGCGGCACCTTTTTTACTGTTGCTGATGCTTCATCTTCTGACGATGGCACATCAAACACGCTTAAATCCTGCTTTGGTTTGGCTGTAGGTTTCCCTGCCAGCTTCTTCGCAGGGAGTGCTGTACTTAGTTTCCCATTACTCTGAGCTTTGACCGCATCTGACGGAACAGAAGCAGTTGCTTGCGAGGCTGCCTTTCCTTCGCCCACTGTCTGTTGTGCCAATCCACCATTTTTCACAATCGATTTGGGTAGTTCAGAGGGCTGGGGCGTCTTCGCACGCAGCGTCCGAGGGGCGGCTGGATTCGTGGAGGAGGGTGACGGCACGCGTGGAAGCTTCGGTAACTGAGCAGGCTTCTGTGTTTTCTTGGGTGCTACATCGGGCTTCGCAGCTTCAGGCTTACGCAAAGTCTCTGCCGGTTTTGCCAGCTTCTTTGACTCCCGGGGATTTCCATTTTGGACGACTGGCGCAGTTTGGCTTTTCTCAAGCGCCCGAGGCTTCACTGCCAACTTCTTGATAGGCTTCGGGCGCGTCACGAACTCGTCGTCATCGGGTATGTCGAAAATGTCGGCATGGTCTGTTTTTGCCCGTGAGTTCCCCAGACTGTTCCCCAAGCTGTCCGCGCTCTTTGTTGGCCCTCCAATACCCTCCAATCTTCCATGAGAAGCTGCGGACTGTTTTCGGGGTCGGTCTGGAGACGGAGGCGCATCGTCGCTGGCGTCGGGTGCAGGTGGCGGAACAGCAGACAAACGGGATGATTTGCCGTAGACGACCTTCTTGCGGCGATCGGACGAGGTGAAGCCTGAATACATGGCCGTCGCCATAGCCGTGTGCAGGCGTGAGCAGGCAGGCGTGTTGTGATGACGCTGCGAACAAAGTGCCTCAGACGCGCATTGTGTACTTGGTGAAAGGCGTCGGTGTCTGTGCGAGTGTTCACGCTCACATTCCCGCTCACATTTGAACACAAGACGCGTCCATCTACACCAGGGTTTATTTTCAAGATGAAGTGATCGCGGCGAAATGAAGGCTATGCCGACGTTTGCATGGGGCTTGCAGGCCAATGACGATGCCGGCGGTCGGAGTGGCTGCGCGCCTGCAGGCAGGGACCCGCCATCAGATCTCGCCAACAGCGGGGCAAGGGTCGCGCCTTCCAAACCCAGTGAAGGAGTTCGCCGACGGTCACGAGCCTAGACTACTACTCCACTTGAGCCTTTTCTCCTCTTCTCCTCTTCTTATCTTTGCATTGTATCTATCAATTAAAGTCTGCTCTACCCATCTGTCTAACTGTTGAATCCCTTCAGTCGATATTCACCCCGCCAATTCCACTTTGCTTTTCAACAGTGCAAACTCTAGCTAGAGGACGTATCTCAAGGTATGTCCTAAGCGTTACGAGATGGTTTCTGATCACTTCGTGTTCATGGGTTAGCTTCAAAAATGCAAAAGCACAGTTCTCACAACACAGTTCAAAGTCCTGGCTGATTGTTGTGTAGCCTCGCATACTTGACACACATCCGCCTACCAACATGGCACCCGAGACGCAGTCCTCAGCTCCTTCTCAATGCGTCGGCCCTGAGTACCGTCCGTCTGCTCTGAAGCCAACTGCAACCGTCTCGACTCCCATCAAACAGAGCAATGTCCACATCCTGCCTCAAAGTCCTCAGCTGATAGCACTGCTCACGTAAGACCCCTGTAGACTGTGACTAATTCATGCCCTTCTTTTGCTAAGACCCAGAAAGTATGATTCGCGACCGCAATACAGGTCGTGCAGACTTCATCTTCTACAGCAATCGAATCATTCGTCTCTTGGTTGAGGAAGGCCTCAACCACCTTCCCGTGGAATCGCAAGAGATCACTACACCCGTAGGCCGCACTTACTCGGGCGTTAAGTTCCAAGGCAAGATCTGCGGTGTCTCCATTATGCGTGCAGGAGAGTCTATGGAGCAGGGTTTGAGGGATTGCTGCAGGAGTGTGCGCATTGGTAAAATCCTGATCCAAAGAGATGAAGAGACCAGCAAACCCAAGCTGTACTACGACAAATTGCCCGAAGACATTAGTGACCGATGGGTACTGCTGCTGGATCCCATGCTTGCTACGGGTATGTTGAGAATTACGTGCAGACCGAATAATGATGGAATGCTAATCGGCGGCAGGTGGTTCGGCGCTCATGGCAATTGACGTGCTCAAGTCCCGAGGTGTACCAGAGGACCACATCCTCTTCCTCAACCTAATTGCCAGCCCTGAAGGTGCACAAAGCTTGGCGGAGAAGTTCCCCAAGGTTCGTGTCGTGACCGCATTTGTTGATGAGGGTCTGGATGAAAAGAAGTAGGGCTTTCCGTCTACATCCCCTGCTCCGCCACATGCTAATTTGAAATGCAGCTACATCATTCCTGGTTTGGGTGACTTTGGCGACCGTTTCTACACCATGTAAAAAGATATCGTCTCATCTGGTTTGTGTGATGAACATTCAATGCGCGCAAGGTGGCTCTCAATTACTTCAGCATACGTTAGCATGACTGTTTGAATAACAAGGAAAAAGGTGGAAAGGCGACAAGAAGTGTTTTTTGCGCGTCAAAGTTGAATTCGAAGTGGACTAGCAGCGCCCAACTCCCAGTGGAGGGGCACATTATCAGCCTTGTATTGAAGATGGTAACGCCGCCGCGAATGTGCCGGTCCTTTTAATCACCCAAAACGCCTTGCAAGCCAAAATTAGCCCCATCGTCTCCGTTATGCCTATATGTTATACAAGACCCTAAGCCCTCTTGCGCTGCCACATCCAAAGTGACTCTCAACCTCGCAACTCGTTGTCCATCAAAAGGGAACGCCCGTCTAGTCGGCGTACTCGCCCTCGGCATCTGCATCGTCGTGCTCAATGAAGCCGCCATCGCCATCGTCATCTTCCTGGTTATGTGCTGTGGGCATCCGTCCCATGCGATGCGAACTCCGCGAGACCTCTGCATTGCCCTTTGCTGCCTGCTTCGCAACAGCATCGCATGCATCGATCCAATCGGCGTAGACGTCAACGGGGGCGCTCAGGTAGTTGATGTTGGTCTGGAAGGTCTGGCCGCAGACTTTGCACTGCAGATTGCCGACGCCCGACTTCTTTTCGATGGATACGCTGACGGAGTTCTCGTGGTTGCAAAAGAGGCACTGGAAGGTTGTGGGGAGCTTCTCCTTCTGCGGGATGTGTCAGTCTGATTGGTGCACAAGAGAGATAGTGAAAAGAGGTGAAAGGTATGACGCACCCTCTTGGGACCCTGAGGCTTGCTGGATGATTTGCGTTTGCCCTGTCCGTGGTCGTTAGCATTGCGCACGAGAGTTGGAAATGCACCCGAGAAAACAAACCATTTTGTCGCGGTGTCTAGATCACCAGGTGTAATGTCTTTGCGTAGAGAGGGAGAGAGAAAAAAAACACTTTTTGGTGGAGAAGAGGGGGCGGTAGCAGCGTCGAGTCCAAGGAGTGATGTCGTCAACAGCAAGGCTTCTGTCGCATGCAATGAGACGCGATCGCGCAAGTGAATGTTTCGCGTGGCTCCGACCGCCAAGATCCCTGTCGCCAGCCCGGGGAGCTGCCCCATGCGTCGATAGTCGATAAGCGGCCCCGCTCCTATCAGCGTACACCGAAGCTGCAGGCACGTGTGAAGTCAGCTGTTCAGTGCTGCTGGCATCGTCGGCCACCTCCAGCACTATTCATATTCGACCACGTTGCTCTCTCCTCTTTCCTTCTTTCTTTCTTCTCTTCTCTGGATTTCTCCCCAATCCCCCCCTTTGGTTTCGTGAAAGCCAAGTTGTATTCGTGCCCTTGCTCCCCTGCCTTACAAACCAGATCATTCCATCTGGTTTATCCCACCCTTTCGGAGCTCACCGGTCTTTTGCTCTTCGACTCAATTCCCACACGCAAACAAACAATTTTTGCAACGGGAAAGTTCTTTTCAATTCACAGAAGCCTATTCTACAAAAATTGCATGAGAGATCTGGTTTACTGTCCATCATGTCTTCCGAAAGTACGACTAGCGATGCCGTCCTCAAAGAGATCCTTGAAGGGCTCAAGGCTCTCCGCACGGAGAACTCTGTACTTGCAGCCTCGGTCGACAAGATCAATGGGCGTGTGAACATGCTGGCTGGCATCAAGCAAATCAAGGATGAAGCTGCAAGTGAGGCTGCCAATGGCACATTGACCAGCGACAAGGCCACTGAAGCCGAGTCTGGCAAAACCGTAGAAGCTGTGAGCCAGCAGTATGAGCAACCCCCTTCAAGTGAAGAGGCCCAGCCCCGCCGTACAAGTGTTTCGAAGATCTCAAAGATCATCTTGACCTCGTACCCTGGCCAGGCTGGCGTTGATCCCTTGCCAATGGAATGGGGTGCCAAAGACCCTGCTGTGCGTGGTCCCGTTGTTGTATCTAGACATCCAAACACCATTCGCAGGCGCAATGGTATGTATTTCCATGTCCTCGTCTGGATCTAAGGCGCTTGCTAAATAGTCCAACAGCTATTGGCGCCCACGGAGGCTCATACTCCATCTACAATGCCCTTGCTGTAGCCAGCAAGAACCTCGACATCACCCACAAGCCAGACTTTACAAACACTGAGCCTGCCGCTAAAATTGGTCCGTTCCCGCAATGGAGCGACAAGAAGAAGATTGTGGCTATGGACCCATATGGCCATCTTGCACCGTGGCTGTACAAAGACATCATGGACAAGGATGACGTGGAGATCAGACCCACCATTGCTATTACAAGAGCTCACATGAAGGTGCCCGAGCTCGAGGACAGTGTAAAGAAAGGCCGACTGGTACCAGATGGCAAGATCTGCGTCAACGAGACGGGCGAAATCGCAGTCACCAAGGTCGCTGTGGAGCCAGTATGGTATCTGCCTGGCGTGGCTGAGCGTTTCAACATTGGTAAGCCTCAGCCTCACAGCACTGAATTACTTGGAGCTAACCCAAGTCCACAGATGAGGGAACCCTCCGCCGGACACTGTTCGAAGAGACAGGAGGCTCATACCCCGAGCTCATCACCCGCCACGACATCAAGCTCTTCCTGCCCCCCATTGGCGGTCTAACCGTCTACATCTTCGGTGACCCCGCAAAGATGTCCGACGCAAACTCGAAGCTCGCCCTACGCATCCACGACGAGTGCAACGGCAGTGACGTGTTTGGCTCCGACATCTGCACGTGCCGCCCTTACCTTACTTTTGGCATCGAGGAGGCGGTCAAAGAAGCACAGCGCGGCGGCAGCGGTGTAGTCATTTACTTCCGCAAGGAAGGTCGTGCCCTTGGCGAAGTGACAAAGTATCTTGTGTACAATGCCAGAAAGCGTGGCGAAGACCGTGCGAGCGAGTACTTCAAGCGTACGGAGAATATCGCCGGTGTCAAGGATATGCGCTTCCAGGCTCTGATGCCGGATATCCTGCACTGGCTGGGTATCACCAAGATTGATCGCATGCTTAGCATGTCCAACATGAAGCACGATGCTATCGTCGAGCAGGGCATCCCGATTCACGAGCGTGTTCCTATTCCTGATGAGATGATTCCTGCTGACAGTCGAGTGGAGATTGACGCTAAGATCCAAGCCGGATACTGTAAGTGCTTTTGTTGTTCTTGTCGTTGTTGTCGCTGTTACTATTGTTGGTGTTGTGATCGTTGTGACCGGTCATGTGCGCGAGGGAGGAAAAAAAGGGGGATGACAGAGCATTTGCTGACGTGGATAACCGCAGTTACAACTGGTCATGTCATGTCCATGGATGAGCTGGCAAACGTCAAAGGCCGTGGATGGGAAGACATCGACGTGAGTACACCTCCTGCCATGCTTTTCTTAATCTTTTTGCTCCAAGTCATCATCACACTAACTCCTTGTGTTAGCATTGAGTGACCAGGTCATGGGCCACAATGGCCAGCGTGGTGTGCTTATACCGCAAATGCAGGGTCATCTGAGGGGACCCGCATTGCACGCGATATGTAAGTACATGCGGGCATGAGCCTCGTTGTCAGTGAAACCTGAAACGTAGTGTCAAAAGATAAGACAGAAATAAAGATACCAAAAAACGTTTCAGCGTGATAATTTGTCATATGCGCGCTTGCCAAAGTGCATGTGTCTGTGAGATCCTTCCGATCCCAATCCAGTTGGCTCGCCTTGCCTCTTGCCTCCTGCCTCGTTGCGAACAAACGGCTAGAACAAACCACATGCAGAGGATCGCAGGCAATAACGCCCCCCTCACATATGTACTCCAACAGGAAACCAACAGGAAACCAACGGAAACAACAAGCCCGACACCTCGCCGTTTGAAGCGGGGGGAAGGGAAAGAAAGAGTGGAGGGGCAGCAGTAGCAACAGTAGCAACAGCGAGTAGTATCGCTCCTCTCTCTACTTTAGGCCCCCACCTACCTCCAACACCTCCACGACTAGCAGAATGTATGTATGTACTTACATACATCCAGCCAAGTTCCAGTCATACACACATAAACAAGGCTCGTAAAGAAAAAAACAGACTTCACCCAATTGGAAAGACAGGAAAGGGCAAGCAAGCGCTAGACGCGCGAGGGGTTGACAAACCCCACCATCAAGCATACCTGGTCCCCTTTTTTTCACCCTCGCGCGCCCTACCCGCACCTGCCGCACGTGCTGCGCGAATGCAGAGGCCGTTGGTCGCATGATGCGCTTCTTTTACTGTTGCATTGCTGTAGGTAGAACTAGTAAGTAAAAAGGTAGGTAATAGGCGAGCACACACACACTCTCTTTCTTGGGGAGGAGAAGCGGGGTTGGTGTGTGTGTGTGTGTGTGCCCAGAAGCGAAAAGACGACGATAATATTTAGCGGCAAACAAGGGAGTTTGTTAGTTTGTTGTTGTTTGCCAGTTTTGTTGCAATGGTGTACATGACCGACCGGCTTACTTATGCGCTGGTTAGGTTTGGGTGTTTCAGAGGTGGGGTTAGGGAAGATTTGGGAAGAGATCACACGCACACGCCTGCGATTTTTTTGCAGTGCTGTCAAAACGGAAGATGCGAAACCGACACCGGGAGCGGCCCGCTAGTCGGGCTTGTTGCTTCATCACCGCCCCTTGTTAACTATCGCTGGGTGTCTTGCTTATGTAGTGTGGATGTGTGTGCGTCTGTGGTTGGCCTTTGTTATTTACCGCTCTTTTACTGTGACTTCCGTTGCTTGTGGTTGGGTTTTTTTTCCACCGCTTTTCTTTGCTTTGTGATTCGCAAAAAAAAAACTACTTTGTTGGTACCCCCACTTGGTTCACTTTGGTTGAACAAGACTTGGTTCAAACTGAACAATGTCGGGAACTGCAGCAGTTGCTGGGAATAAACTTGCCGCTCACCCTCATGTGCTTGTAAGGATGAGGGCCCGATTGGGGGCGGGTTGCAATAGGTAATCGGAGAATGGGCAACGTGCCGTAGTGTGCATTCTCCATCCGTCAGACGGATTGTGGCGGCTGTCTTGATAGGCTTTTCGGCAGCGTCGGTGGTAGGTTGCTGCAGTGATAGGCGCTTGTCTATTCGCTTGCTTCAACAAACACTACCAAGGTCATGATTGCGACCGGTGTATATGCCAGCATCCGGATAGGATCGGCGGCGAGATCTGCCGTAGGAGCGTGTCTGGACTTGCGGAGAATTATGGCTGGTCAGAGGCGTTGTAAGCTGAGGGTGTGGTGAGGACGTTGCTTTGGTGCGGGGCAACTTGACGCCAATGTGCTCAACAAAACACTTTAAATGACAGCCTTCCTCTTTTTGCTGAGTATGGCCATGGGCACCGAAAATCCGGGGAGCAAGCACTTTTTTAGGACGCGAGGTTGATCATTCCGGGCCGAGACAAGTTGATGGGATTCGCACTTGGTGATGAAGGTGCCAAAACGGATAAGGTGGTGCAAAACGGCCGCGGGTATGACGGCGTGGAGGCGTACCCGCTTCTCGGGACAATGATGCACGTCGGTGTGACTAACCTGGTTGCAGATTGAACGGACTGGGCAGCACGACATGATGCTAATGAATGCACTGGTGAGTTCGCATGTACGCGGGCCGGGGGTCTTGGTGTGTTCAGATCCATCGTGGGAAGTGGATTGATTGATTTTGTCTCTGCAAACTCTATGTGTGCATAAGTGAGTATGTGCAAGCGAGGAGGGGAGTTGAGCAAGTATGCAAGCATTGGGGTGAGAGGTGCCCGAAACGTTGCTTAGTGTCTCTTTTCGTGTTCTTTTTTTTTTGTTGAATTGTTATGCTACATGTGGTATGCCAGGCGCTCAGCTGAGGAAATGCATGTAATTGATGGTTAATGGGCAAATCAGGGCTTTGCCCGCTTCGAAATAGACATGGCAACACACATGGCAACATATGGCAACATGTGAAAGCAGCTGACGTGGATGTGGAGACGCAGCGCGGAGCAAATTGTTCCAGAACTTGAAGCACGGTCTTGCAGAGGGAAGTTTCGCAGTATTCGCCCGGGTAAAGACACGACAGAGGCCAGACGATTGGGGGCTTGTGTGGTGCTGGACAGGCGAGGCGGTACGTGGCTTGCACTCAATCGCCGTGCCGCAGCAGAAATGAGTATAGATGACAGAAGTGGAGCCAGGGGTATGTCATTTCGAGGCAACCGGTGTAGATGATAGAGGCAGATGATATGCTGGTGATTCTGCATGCTGTTATGCTATGCCTGCCAAAGGGGCAGTGGCCGGAAGCGCTTGGCAAGGCGACGTTCTCGACTGTCGACGGCCAGGGCGGATGCATGACACAGCGGGCCATGTCGTCACCAGCAGCAGCAGCAGCAGTAGCACGAGCAGCAGTGAGAGCAAGAGTGCCGGGCGGAGATGAGTGAGGCTGATGCAGACGCTGTGCTGTACCTGTCTCAAGGTCGCACACGCCTCATGGTGGTCTGGCGACGGTGATGGGCATTGGCATGGCGATGAGGGGGGCGCGTATAATGCCCTTGGGCGGTTCCTGATGGCCGGCAAGGAAGAATGGCCGATGTGCAGTTGGCCATGGGCCTGGTTTTGTCATGACTGCGCAGCGACAGTGACGGCGACGGCTGGTCTGCCGATGCCACGGTCCAAGGGCTGCTATGGCGCCGCTATGGCAGCGCACCCGGTGTTCCGGCAGTGCAGAGCCCTTGGACGGTGACGGAGCAGCAAAGGGTGCCAATCACCAGGCACCGGGCGAGCGACGGACAGTGAGCAGTGGGCAGTGGGCAGTGGGAGAAAGAGTACGTGTGTGTCAGTGCCAGTGACAGACACTCACGTCAGTCGGCCGGGTGGTGTGCGCCGTGGCCAGCTCACACCTGCAGCGCAAATGGAGGTGAGACGGACGGGCGCTGTGTGGGCGGACGAGTCAGGGCACGTCAGAGGCCGACAAGACACCACGTCCACGTCCCCTGGCACCCAGGCTAATTCTGACCGTCCACGTTTTCTGACGGTGCCCACTTCTTCAACATGCACGCGCTAGCTCCAAACCGCCAGCGACGTCGAGTGGGGAGCTCCGGGCTGCTGATGCAGCTGGCGTCGACTAGGGTGCCTGGGCCGACCAGAGGCGTCACTATACATTCGGTACCATGGGGTGAAGCGCGTCTAGGCAGTTCCGACCACATTATTATACTACCCGACCTGCTCGCAACGCTGTCCGTCATTCTTCACCTCCAGTCTATTCAATCACCATCCATATAACACAAACATACACACACCAATCCAACCTCTACTACAACACACACACACATTACCCCTCGCCATGTCTACCCACCCACGTTACTACTACTCGCTGCCCACCGAGGCGCCCCAACGCTCCCGATCGGGAAGCCGACGACCTCCTCTGACCCCATCAACTGTCTCTTCTCCCTGTCTTACAACTCTGGTGCCCACCACCTCTCGCCGGGATTCTGCTACTTCGGGAAGCCCCATCAAGGCCTCCATTCTCCTCGCAAAGGTCGCTTCTTCGCCCACCACTCCCCGAGGCGAGACCCCTCCAGGAAGTCCAATGCTCTCGCCAAGATCCAGGCTCAACTCGGAACCATCCTACACTTCCGACAGGCCTGCCATGTCAAGGACCGAGAGCGATCGCTACGTCAGGCAGTACAGACAGCAGGGTAAGCATACCTCACCAATGCCTCCCTCTCCCGCAACATGACACTAACATTGCTTGTAGATGGCTACATTAGCTTCCCTGACTTTGAGAAGTTCTGTCAGACTGAAAGCCCATATGTCCAGCAAGAACAGCAGACCGACGTCAAGGCTTGAACGTACGGCCCGCTGGGGTCCAGGATGCCATGTAGCGAAGACTCCCTTCGACATGCACCAGGACCCCCTCAAATCCCATTACCACCCAATTCACCAGGCTATTCCCCACTTCTCTTCCCTGGAGCAACGCACCTCGCCTGCATCTGAGGCTACAGAGCGTCAGCAATGTACAGCCTATTGAGCGATCGAACCCAGCCCTGTGCTGAGGCCGCGCTGGAACCACTACACTACCTTCACGATGATTTGTGCGCAGGCAAGTCAAGTCAGACTGTCAGCCCTGTGCGACGTGGAGGTGCGTGGCGGCACGTTACGTGGGGTGGAAGGAAGCGGCCTGTCCAGGTGTCTGATGACTACAAGCACAGCCACTGGGCTGTTGCTTTTGGTCATATCACCGCAGTGCACGTGTTCGAGTCGGTACGATGCTAAAGGAGGCGCATGAGCACAGCTCCCTTAGGTTGAGGGGCCAGGCACGTGAGGCGTTTTCCAGCCCGTACCAAGCCCACTCCCATATTAGAAGTATACTAGATGTAATAACATGACAATACCAACGCATTATCATATTACCGATATTTTCACATGTTATTCCGTGATTGAAGTTGTGGTGGTGATTCTATCGCCCCCCACCATCGCCACACGTTGAGGCCTGGACTCGCTCCTCCTCTGCACACGCGCATCGCACCTTATCAGAGAATAATGGACTGCACGCCGCGGATGTTTAACCCCTATGTTACTCGTGTCTCAGTGATAGGATCAATTCGTGCATGTCCAGCCTATAGATAGCAAAACGTCGTGCAGCACTCAAACCCTCCAGAACCAATACAAAGCGACAAGATGCTGGCTTCTTCCGCCTACCAAAGATCGCCCCAGGTTTCCTAGATATTGATCTACCAGGTCGCTGTCCAGCCAGGCGCTTTGCATTGCAGTCAAAGTGGTGCATCTGCGGATCGCTGTGGCCTTGTGTGGTCTTGGCGCACGTGATGCGCTACTGGGCTCGCTTAGATTTTCAACACCACATTGGCGTTGGATTCTCGCTCTTCGACATCGACGACGACAACCCACCACATCTCGACGCCCGACAACAAGACTCGTAATCATGGCTGTCGGCAAGAACAAGCGTCTTTCAAAGGGAAAGAAGGGTCTCAAGAAGAAGACCGACACCTTCGCTAAGAAGGACTGGTACAACATCAAGGCCCCAGGAACTTTCGCGGTCCGAGAGTAAGACTTCCCGCTGCCACACACACGGGGATTCAATGCTTACTCTACGTTCTTCGCAGTGTTGGAAAGACCCTCGTCAACCGTACCACCGGTCTCAAGAACGCAAACGACGCTCTCAAGGGCCGGATATTCGAGGTCTCGCTCGCCGATCTCCAGAAGGATGAGGACCACGCCTTCCGCAAGGTCAAGCTTCGCGTCGACGAGGTCCAAGGCAAGAACTGCCTGACCAACTTCCACGGTCTCGACTTCACCTCCGACAAGCTCCGCTCCCTCGTCCGCAAGTGGCAAACCCTCATCGAGGCCAACGTCGTCGTCAAGACCACCGATGACTACCTCATCCGCCTCTTCTGCATTGCCTTCACCAAGCGACGACCAAACCAGGTCAAGAAGACCACATACGCTCAATCGTCGCAGATCAGGGCTATCCGCAAGAAGATGATGGAGATCATGACCCGCGACGCCAGCGCATGCACCCTCGCCCAGCTCACCCAGAAGCTCATCCCCGAGGTCATTGGTCGTGAGATTGAGAAGGCCACCCAGGGCATCTACCCCCTCCAGAACGTACGTGCTTGCTAGGACCGCTACGAGCTATGTCAAAAGGCTAACACAACATACAGGTCCACGTCCGAAAGGTCAAGCTCCTCAAGGCACCCAAGTTCGACCTTGGTGCTCTCCTTGGTCTCCACGGCGAGTCGAGCCAGGACGACTCTGGCCAGAAGGTTGAGCGTGAGTTCAAGGAGACTGTCCTTGAGCAGGTTTAAGGGTATCAATGGATAGCCAAGGGGTTCTGGGTCTTTTCAACTTTCTGCGGCATGATATCGGCATTCCAAAGGTGTTTGTGTTTACAAATAAAAGATAAACATGACCCTACATGCGAGTCCGCGGCAGTGATGGCGTGCATGGGGTACGATCCGCATCTGGTGTTATCAGGTCGTGCGGGAAAAGTATCATGGAAATGACATTGACGAGTTCCAATTTCATGCACCTTTAGTGCACTAGTCATCCTGTCGCATCTGTGCCTTGAATCGTATGTCATGTGTGGTCTGTGTTGACAGCACTGGCCAGTGCACCCTGAATATGCAAATAGTCGCACAATCAATGAAGCGCGGTACAAAAAGATTCATCCTCCGATAACAAACAAAGTGCAGTAACTGAATATGTTTTTGTGATTCATGTGTATAGTTGTGCTATCTGGCGGTCAGTCAAAAACTAATTGCAATCTGCGCCTTCATGCATGGACATGTGATGAAGACTGGTTCCTGCAACTGCCACAATTACTACCACACTTGCGCTACGATGCCACCAGCAAAAAAGCTGCCTTCCGCCAGAATTGAACTGACGACCTCGTCATTACTAGTGACGCGCTCTACCACTGAGCTAGGAAGGCTGATACCGAAGCTGTAGTTCTTCTCGATGGGGAAACGTCATTTTGAAATTCTTATAAAGTTTATATTCAACGGCTCGAGGTTCCTGCCGTTCAGCTCGCGTACTTACAAGTCATGTGTAAAGACCACTATCCTCGGAAGAATATCCTACTGAGGCGTCCCCTGACCGCCTTCAACTCACCACGTGACATGTATCCACAGGCTCGAGGCTCCGGATTACACAAGCTTAATCTAGATCTTTCACAACCACCTTGCATGCATATCACGAAGTACCTGTATCCCAGTCCAACTATTGCTTCCCCCATTATTCATAACAATAGTAAAAAAAACAATAAATCCTCTCATTCCTATCCGGACCCGTCATCAGCCCACATGCCGTGATGCGTCTTTTTTTTCTCTCTCTCTCTCTCTCTCTCTCTCTCTCTCTCTCTCGCTCATTCCCATCCGTCTACATCCTGACCTTAACTCACCAAAGTGGTATATACACGTACACAACCTTAAGGCACCTGACCAACGCCCCTCAGCTCCATTCCACCCCACCCGGCCGTCTCCGACTTCCCTTTCGCTAGTAACAAAAAAGGTAAACAGCCCAACGCCCCCATGTTCCCCCGAAAACGAACCGCGCTTCTAGACTCTCTGGAACGCGAGCAGACGTGTTGCGCGATGGAGAGAGCGCGCGCGCACGAACAAGAACAACACTCCGATCGTCCCGTCTCCATAGGTGGATTTGAATGGCGCACGCGCGCTTTGGGGACGCCTTGGCCTCTCACCGGCGCGTCTAAGCGTCGCCATGTTCCCATTTTTCTTGTTTGCGTTACTACACATGGCCCCATGTCGTTTATGCTGGCTTTTCGCGGGGAAACGGGAACCGAGGGCAGGGGGTGCTGGACATATCGTATACAGATGCGCGCGCGTCTTATTTGCGGAGAGAGAGAGAGGGGGAGAGTGATTGGGGGGGGATGCTTGGACATGGTTCGGTGTGTACTTGGTCGTTGTGCAGGGGTGTTGCTTGTTTTGGGCGTTTTCCTTCCTTTTGCACAGCCGACGTCCGGTAATGGAGTAATGCGGAGGTCATGGTTGATGGTGGAATGCGTGGTTGCTTCTAGTGTCGATCGGCAGATGGGCGGGTTTTTTTCTTGTAGAAAGGTATGCATCCACCCCCTTCCCTTCCACACCCCTGCCCTACACCCGCTTTCCCTTGTTGGTTTTCACCGCTACTTTGGTTGGGTGATATGCGGCCGACGTCAGCGGCCGAGATGTACATGTGCATTTCATGTACAATGTACGTATGTGTATATGTACATTGATGGAGCCATGTCTCGTACTACACCCTTGTTTTTAATGTGGAATCATCGTGATTCCAGATACACTCTACAGGGAGATAGATAGGGTTGCGGATCGAGATCGAGGTTTGGGCATCGTGGCTTTCCTGATGTGGACACACCTCGGGCACTTGGGGAAACGGGTACGAGTGCCTAGGTTACAGGACTATTGTGATGTGGCAGATACACACCCGGCTACAGGTACGATCGCTGACTTGGCACAAGGTTCGATAGCAAAAGATAGTTTATTGATTTTCTTGTTTTGATTCGTGTCATGGAGATTTTTTGGAGGTTGCAAGTTCAAAGGCATTGGCATCGTCGATGACCACGGAACTTGACACGCTCCAATACTTGTGTGCCTAGACATGTGTATGGCGTCCCTCTGGATCACGGTCCGACCGTAAGCATTCGCTAGAAATCATCGATATGCATGCGTTTTTTGACACGCGGTGACACTTGTTACACTTGAAACTCGTACTATTCGCGTAACTGTATACAAGGTATCTCCTAGTCCGGCAACGGGCGATAGCCCGCTTCGCTCAGGTCTCAGAATGGTTCGCTAGCCAATGCGCCCAACAATCTTACTTGTAGGTAAACCTTCCCTCCTACGGATCCTTACCCTTACATCAGCCTTCGGAACCTTGATACTTGCTCCATCAACGGCCGTCGGAAGCGCCCATTTTGCATCCTTTCTCTTTGCATTCTCTCTCGCTCTGTTGGCCTCTTCTCTTGCCGCCTTTTCCTCTCCGGAAAGCGCGGCTGCGCCAATTGATGCTTCATTCCCTGCTTCCTGCATTTGGTCAAAGAAGCTCTTCTTTGGCGCCGGAGCAATCTCCCATAGCTGCATGATACCAGCGACCAACGGGATGAGAAGTGCAGTCTTGTACGATTCTGACAGGTCGTTCGGAGCAACAATAGAACATGAAACCGGGGCATTGAGGAAGCGGTCCGACTTATAGGTTTGTGGAGCAGGGTGTGATGCCGGCGATGAATTGATCATAGATCGAGAAAGGCCGATGTCAACAAACGTCCCCGCTTCGAGCTCCCATTCCTCTTCTTTGCCTGTCCGTACAGCATCCTCTTCTTTCAGCGTAATGGGCTGTTTGATCTTGTACGCACTGACAGAGCAGCTGTACAGACGGCGAGTCTCGTTGATACACGAGCGAAGATAAGGTGAAAAGGTCGTAGTGAGAACTTGAGCAGCTGATCCAAAGCGTATCTCTGGTGGTGCTGGGAATGCGGAATGAATTGATGGCGGTTGGAAAGCCTGGGCCCAGGTCCCAGTCTCTTTCTTGATCCTCTCGAGTGGCAAACTTTCCAAAGTCTTTGGCTCTTGCACTTTCGACGATGAGTATACATGTAGTAGCGTCCAGAAAACAAGCGGCACGACTTCTGAGACTATATCGTGTACAACGTGGAGAGCGATCGAAGCTCTGAGTTCCATTGGAAGATCATGCTTGGAGAATACTTGATTGAGTTTCATTAGAGGTGTTACTGTATCAGCATCTGTATCTTCCTCGCCGCTCACACTCTCATCGTCAGCTGGCACTCGCTTTACTGGTGGGTTGGTCAGATCCCCAAAGTGACTTGCAAAATTCTGTATCAACCTCTTTTGGGCCAAAGCTGATCCTGGTAGACCTTGAATAGGCGATAACCGAGGTAAACCAAGAGCGAGTGCCCAAAAGCGTTCATTAAGAGCAGCCAAGTCCGTAGGAAGTAGTTGATAGGATTCAGTGAAATGAGTTCCAACAATCGGCGGCAGAATGGCGTTGCAACAAAACTCATTGACAAGCGTGAACAGATTGCACTCGACCTCCGATGTACCATCCGTGAGCTCCATGTTTGAGACGCGTTCCCATTGCATCTGGTCGACAATGCTTGAATTGAAAGTGACGAGGTCCGGAAGGGAATCGGATAAGAGACTCAGTGACGTTTTGATAAGGCTCTCCTTAGTCGGCCCTCCATACAGTTCTGTTTCAACAACCTGGTTGATTTCCGGTAATATCTCAAGATAGTGGCTTTCCATTACTGAAGGTAGCTTGAATGCGTTGCGAAGAATGGCGGTTAGGTTGTTGTCCGGGGTTTCCAGGTTCGGCCAATTCTTGTAGATCTGAGCAAGTAGAGTTTCTGAAAGCAGGACATTATGTTGAGTTCCTGCAGCCTTGTACGCAATCATATTTGCGGTAGATGATTCTCTGCAAATGGTTAAGTACATATACTATAGTAGAACAAATATTCGTGCTTACCTTACGCTCTTTAACCACTCCTCGCCACTAAGCACGATACTCCAGAGGTTTCTGAACCCTGGGATCCAGTATGGCAGCGATTGTACCCGTCTCTTCCCATCTTTAGTCTTAACTTCGTTACCCGAGGCCGAGAAGAATCTGGTAGGCAAAAGGAAAAGGACTGCCGAAATAGCGAATTGAGGTAGAAGATCGAACCAGGAAAAGTCTTCAGGTATAAGGTTCTCGAGTGTCTGTAACAAGCCAAAGTACCATGCAATAGCCAGTGCGATCGGACTGAAGAGCGTGATATAGCATGCTGGCAGAAACAATGCTCTTATTATGCCGTTTGAGGCATGCACCGCCAGAAACAACGTCTTGAGAGAACCCATTCTGGCGGTGACGAAGCGGCAGTGTACAGTGTAATTTTCGGTGAGGGTCAGGAAATGGAAAATGCCCAGCTCCGCTATGCGCCGTGATGAGGATCAGCTGTTGTGGGTGTCGTGATTGTCGCTGGTAAAACGGAATGACGGTGAAAGGCTCAGCCTCAAGCCATGAGGCTCTTTTCGCTTCGGCGATTATACAAGTCTTTCTAAGCTGGGAATGGGTAATTTCGAGGACAACAGGTGTTTATGCAGGTACATAGCAGGGTGTGATTGCTGCGGCTGAGGGTAATGGTTTGTCGGCCACGGTTACATTTGAGGCACAGGATCCCTGTTCAGCTCGCTTACTAGTACAAGTGAGAAGCTAATCATAGAACCCCTCGGTCTTATCAACATATCTGCAAGACTGGCACTGTAATCAGAACATCGTGTGAGGAACGCATCTCTTAGATTGTACGTACCACCATGACGCTAAAAAAAATTCAATGTGGCAGTGTTGGTGGATTACGCCCTTTACAGAAGATAGGCTAATGTTACCGCTTCGTGGGCTTGACGCCAACTGCGCCCTTTACACCTGCACGTCTGCTAATTCCGCTATTGTAGTCATTTCGAAATTTTCAAGACGCTGATTAACAATCAGCGGAATAAGAGTCTGGAAAGCAGGTATATCAAAACACAGCATTGCGACTTCAATGCTTGGTTGTTAACATTCAGCACAGCAACAACTAAAAAGCGTACAACAAATTTAACAACATACAAGATAAACGCTATTCCCCATTGACAGATCCAAAGCCATTCAAAATGGCCTCTACATCAGTCCCCAAACACCTCAACTTCATAACCGGCAACAAAAACAAGCTCGCCGAAGTCCAGGCCATCCTCTCGGGCGTCATTGAGCTGCGAAACCAGAATGTCGATCTAGTCGAGATCCAAGGCACAGTCGAAGAAGTGACCAGAGATAAGGCGCGACGAGCCGCTGAAGCAGTAAGTTCTTCAATTACTGCATCGAATTTGACCTGAACATCCATGAATACGCACAATTCATTTCGCCTTATACTGACCACCTGTCACAGATAAAAGGCCCCGTCCTAGTCGAAGACACCTGCCTCTGCTTCCCCGCCATGAACGACCTTCCCGGCCCATACATGTACGTTTTCCTCCCATCCCTCCACCCCCCCTTCCCCCCTCCTAACCCCCACTCTTTCTTACCTTATTATCGCAGCAAATGGTTCATGCTCTCCCTCGGGCCCCTAAACCTGCACAAACTCCTCGCAGGCTTCGACGACAAATCTGCCCAGGCAGTCTGCACATTCGGGTACTGCGAGGGACCGGGTCACGAGGCGATTTTGTTTCAGGGGAGGACGGATGGCAAGTTAGTTGAGAGTCGGGGGTCTACTGTTTTTGGTAAGTCGTTTACATCGCCCCCTCCCCAATTTCAGACATTAAAGAACGAAGGAAAGCGGGGGGACGAGGGGGTTTGAAAGAGAGAGATTTTTGTTGCTAATAAATGTTATAGGCTGGGACTCATGCTTCGAGTACGAAGGCAAGACATATGCGGAAATGGATAAGAGCGAGAAGAACAAGATTAGCCATCGGGGCAAGGCGTTGGAGAAACTGAAGGAGTGGTTGGCGAGTAAGACGGAATCATCTTGAGCTATACACTACCAGCAGGAGCAGCACCATCTAAATCTCCAATACCCAAAGAAAGAAGAGAGAAAGAGAGAGAGATAAACAGAAAATAATCTCATAATCGTTACAATGGTATCATACACATTCCTCGTTATTTTCTCCTACCCCCCTTCTTCCCCCTCACCTCACTTCTCCTCCTCCCCCTCCTTCCTCACATTATCCCTCCTCCACTGCTCAACCCACCCCTCACACCTCTCCAAATTCCCCTCGACATCCTTTGTACTCTCACTCTTTAACTCCACCACAATCTCCTCTCTATACGCTTCCCTCGCCTCCTCCAACAAAACCTGCATAATCTCACTATCCATATTCTCCTCTAGCTTCTTGCCCGTATAACCTCTCGCAGTGAGGCGGTCGTACAAGATAGACGAGTCGCACCGCAGCACGACGACGAGATCGATCCAGCGTTCGGGGAAGAGGTCGCAGGCGTGCCAGTCGAGGATGTAGCCGCCGGTCGAGTGCAGGGGGAGGGATTCGAGGTAGTCAAGGAGCTAGTATGACAAGTTTAAAATCAGAACTTGTCTGCAAAGAAACGGCGTTGCTTGAAAATGTCATATTGTTAAAGGGGTTAAGGGAAAAGACGTTACCTTATCTTCGTCTACAATCCAACTCCCCGTCTCCTCATCTTTGCCCTCGTGGAACCCTTCATCCTTCACAATCTGATTCACAGACAAATGCTTCAACCCGGTTGCTTGCGCCAGTTGCTCTGCGTGCGTCGTCTTGCCTACGCCCGGTGTACCCGTTATTACAATGTTGGGATTTGTGCGCCCCATTGTTGTCCCTCTTCGTTCGTTCGTTGCGTTTCGTTTTCTTCTGGTTCGCGTTTTGCGGGTGTGGGCTTCAGAGTGCACACGGAATGCTCTCTCTCTCTCTCTCTCTCTCTCTCTCTCTCTATTACTGTATGCGCCTGCAGCGAAGAAAGTGGCTCGGAAATTCTTTTCTCGTTGGTTTTTTTTGCCAGTGATTTCCGGAGGTGAAGAATCAAGAGTATAGGAGCACAATCGTAAAAAGTACTTAGTGTGTGCGATCGCGTTCAAAAAAAGTTGGCATATAATCGCTGTACACTACAGGCATCCCAGAATTATTTTTCCCAAGAGCTTTCCCCCTCCATTTCCCGAACTTCACCCGGCTGCTGAGCAAGCCCCCCACCGCGCCGCTAATTTACCCCGCGCTACGTACTCAATCCGCACACATAACGATCACAAAAGAATGAGCAGGAAATACGCTGCCAGTCTCCAACCCCGGCTGCAATTAGTGGTCCAACAGGAAAAAATCAAGCATGCAGGGTCATTGTCGAAAGATACTTTTTTGCAGATAACTTCGGTAGCCTGTCGTTCAAATCGACGCCCGCTCGCGCCGTTCACAATTACGGTCCTATTCACTCTGATACGTCACAGTGAACATCCCCCACGCACAACATGACACGGTCCAACCATGGGGCTTCAAACTTTTTCTTTTCATTTACTCATGACACACACTTGAGCCTGATTACGCCATTCTACTGCCATCGTAAAACATCAAGCCCTCTTTGCAATCCCAAGGAAAATACATGCAGCAAAACCCCACCTAGACAACGCCGTTTATGCTAAGCGATCGTTGGTTGTGGGCCGTGAACCTGATAAAAGGGGATGTGTGTAGAAAGGGTGGGAGGTCTAGAATACTTGGTGACATGGCTAGTTCGTGGCAACCCCAATCAACCATTTACCCCTGCGCTCTCTTGATGCAAGTATTACGCCAGGTAAGAAGTCATGGAAAGGTGGTGTTGGATATAAAGATTCGTGGAAACGTCGTGGCAAGCCGAGATCGCCATGGACCCATGCTGTAGCAGTCCAAGATGAACATTTCGCCCTGAACGACTCGGAGGATTACGCTCTTGGTAATGTGAGATGTGGTACAGGCTGATGCATTTAGCTCTGCTTGCACTCGGCAGCCTCCTGCTTGGGTTTTGTGCCGTCGTTCTGCAAGTGTGTTAGTGGTGTTCTGATATATCAAATCACTGTCAATGCCTACCTCGTCATCAGACTCCTCTTCCTCCTCGCGATCATCGCTGAGCTCATCCTCATCCTCGTCATCCTCGTCTTCAAACTCGCCCTCGTCAAAGTCTTCAATGTTCTCATACTGAAGAGCCTCGCCGGTGAACCAGTCAATGGCACGGGGAATGAGCTTCTCCTTGATATCCTCACCAAGCTGGTAGTCGAGCTCGAGACGCTCCTCGATGTCGGAGGTGGCGTCGTCGTCGTCTTGTGGGGGCTTGGGTGGGTCGAAGAAGTTGAAGAACGACTCCGTAGGCACAGTCTTCTTAACAACGCGCGTCTGCTTGGTGTCTGCGAAGAATCATATTAGTGTCTTGTCATGTGACAAAAGAACATCATCAAAAAAACTCACTCTTGTTCCTCTGCTTCTTGCTCTCGACACGGACAGTCAAGTCCTTGCCAGCCTTCCACTCAATCTTGTCACCCTCGGCGTGGTCGTAGATGAAGTCACCGCCATAGCCATTCTCCTCCTGGTAGTAGTAGGTCTTGGTGATGGTCTTGTTGGTGAAGAAGTCATTGTCCTCAAACTCAAAGATGAGGCGGAAACCGGGGCGGTCGAGGTACTCCATACGGATGTCTATGAGGTGCTTGAGAGCAGCCTCATCGCGGTCTGTGATCATCTCGGCGAGCGAGATCTGGTTCTTCATGGCGCTCAGCCAGAACTCGGGAATACCCTTGACATCCTTGCCCTCGTCCTTGTTGAGCTCAGCCTCAGGTTGGTCCTCATCCTCGTCGTCCTCTTGCTGCTGCTCGCCAATCTTGACGTGCTCTTCTGAGGGCTCCTCGGCGCCGTTGACAATCTTCTGGCGCGTCTGGTACAGGGGTGTGAACTTGGCAAAGTACTTCTTCTCGAGCTGGAGCACCTCTTCCTGGAACTCAGCCTCGAGCTTCGAGTGCTCCTTCTGGACGCCCTTGAGGCCGGCCACTCGGCGGCGAACTGAGGCGGGAAGCGACTCAATGTAGCCGCTGGAGCGGCCGACGAGCGAGCCGAGCTTGTTCTGCATCATGGCGACGAGGGCGGGGTTGGCAGCAAAAAGTCCAGCGGCAGTGCGCTCCATGTCCTCTGCGACACAAGAAAAAAAAAGTCAGATTGGCGGTCAGGGCGTGCGGCAAACAGGGCAGGGCGGGGTTGGAGGGGCAGCAGCAACAACAACAAGGATTTTTCTTTCTCGCGACGTACCTTCTTTGATGGTGCCAACACCAGGCTGCTGAGCGTGCGACGATATCGGGGCGGCATTTGCAGGCGTGTTTTGGGGGGTGCTGGTCGGGCGGACGTTAGACTGAGGGACGTCCATGTTGGATGATGTATGGAGGGGGTGGAGGGGAAATGAGGCGAGGGGTGCAGTTGGAGTTTGTGATGGAGGGATAGTGGAGGAGGAGACGCAAGTCGGGGGGACTGCAGACAGAAAAAAATCGAGTCAAAAACTACTTACGGAGCGGTAATGGCATCCATCTTCTTATTGCGGATCGGCTCAGACATCTTGGCGAATGAGTGGTGTGGATGTAAGAGTGGCGAAGCGAAGTGGTTGGGGAGAGATGGAAATGTTTCGGCGGTTGAGTCGAGGCAAGGGTTGTTTTCTAGGGACGGGCCTAGTTGTGCCTAGTGTGAAAATACAAGGGATCGAGGGCGAGCCGGGGGGCTTGCGTGCGTGAGCAGGCGTGGATGAGGTGTGCGAGAGTCTGCAACGACGAGCAACAGCAACAATCAAGCTGGCTTCTTCAAGGCGGCCGCTGGGAATTGGAAAGAAAGAAAAGCTTGTGGCGCGCAGGCCAGCCGGGCCCCCGATGGTTTTGTACCCTGACCGTCTTTTCCCAGGCCCAGCGTGGCGTGGCACGCGCAACGGACGACTCAAGGCCCTCTTTCCTCTGGCCATAGACGGCTTCAGTCTGCTTGCAGCTTGTGCACAGTAGCCTCTACCGCCTCCCATTGCCCTGCAACCCGCTCCCGCACTGTCGCCGCGCTGCTGCATCCATGCGTGGCCGACCTTGGCCGCCGATGCGGATGCTGCGAGCAGTTGCTGTAGCAGTAGTCGAGCAACCTGGAGACCGCACACCATGCGATGCGCCCCCCATCTCCACCCACCCAGATAAAGATTAGAGAAAAAAAGGCCCTTTGCCCTCAACGAAAACCCTCGCCAGCTGCCTGACCTGATTCATCCACGTTGCACTGCTCGTCAGAGCAGGGACCCTCATCATCATCATCATGACCATGTCACCATTCTCGATCGATACACATCGTTACATACACGTATGTGCGTACGATCACTACACCTCTATCTTCCCGAAGCCCGGAAGTGTACCACCGACAGAGCCACACCTGTCTTCTAGAACAAAGCGGGCCACTAGAAAATCTTAGAGTAAAATCTCTCCTGGGCCCCGATCCCGCCTAGCGCGTCAGCTCGCATTTTGCCTTCATCGCTGATGGCTTTGCTAGGGTGGAGGGTTGGAGGAAACGGAGGTAGTTCGGATATGTATGAATGTATTGTACAGATTGCGACCTTGATGCTTGCACACGAGGCGGCAAAGAGAAAAAAAAGTTTTGTGTCTTGGTGTTCGAGCCATATTATGCCACACATGGATGGCCCTCTTTCCTACATCTTTCCCTGGATCCTGCCCAATCTCAAAGTAGCCACTACCGCGAGACATGCCGAACACGCTCCAATGAACAAACAGACAGCAATACCATTGGGTCCATCCGTGCTGTGATGCTCCTCTGGCGGCGCCTCGCTCAGCTCGGGACTCTTACCCGGTTCCAGGATGGAGAAGACGACCCAAGAAATGGCGGTGCCCATGAATTGCGGGAGCGTCGTGTACAGGTTCATGATGCCCAGATACTGCCCTGAGCTTGCTCCTCCTCTGCCCGATCCAGCACCTGCTCCGTCCGCCTTTTCCAGCTTATCCTGCGTTTCGGAGAGGTCAATCGAGGCCCGCTTTGAGTGTGTCGAATGCGCGGTGGCCATGTTTAAGCGGTTGATTTCTACGCCGATCAATGCCCATGGGGCCCATGAAGCAACTGCCCATGACCTTTAATCATTTTATACAACGTCAGCTCACAATTCATCACAGAAAATCCAGGAAAGGATGTGCTTACACGCCACAGAGGGTAATGATGAAAGTCGCGTGTTTTATGGAAGTCACAAAAGGCGCCATACTCATACTGCACGCAAAGATGCAGTGTGCAACGACCCATGCCGTTAGCAGACTTGGCTTGCGTTTTTCCCAGGGTCCCGCGTCAAACTTGCGTTTGGACGAGGGTGAGAAGCCGGGGCCTTTTTCGCTGTGCTCGGGGTTCTCGACGAAGAAGGGCAGCAGGACGGACGTTATGAATGTCACGATTGAGAAGGAAACAAGAGCCGTCGAGCCGATTCTCCCGACTTTGCCTGTCATGTCGCCGGCTGCTTTGATTTCTGGCGGCGCATCGTACCGTAGGTAGACTTCGCCGACCCATGTGGTGCTATAGAAGAGAAAAGGAAACCAGCCTGTCCGAATTTGTTAGCTTGTGTCACTATTCCATCGAATTGGAACTCCCCAGGAAAGAAAAAAACGTACCGATCCAAGCCCAAAACTGTACTGTACAGATGGCTTGTATACTTCTTGGTAAATTGAGCGCAGTATGCGCAATTGTTCCAACCACCTGCTTGATATCCAAAGCCTTTGTCATACCATCGTTAACCAATACTCTCTCCGTGACTGCCCAGCTCGTCGTAGCAACAGTGAGACACAAAGTCAGCGCCGCAACACCTGTCAGCTGCTTGAACTGCGTATCACCCAGCATGGGACCGAATATCGCTTTGAGATCCGCAGCTCCAGCCGCATATCCCACCATTTTGCCTACTGCCACCATCCTACTCGCCCAGCTACTCCCCATCTGCTGTTTCTCAATTGGCAGCGTATCCACAATCAGGCCTCTACAGCTCCCCTGCACAGCATTGATAGCAAAGTCAATTCCGTAAATGCTAAACACAGCCACGTATACGTTTGCGCTCTTTGCCGCCGCCTCATCCTTGATAAAGTATCGCACAACTTCTTTTGTCCAGCCCAGCAGCAGCAGAAACATGGATACCAGTATCGTTCCGAAAAACATGTACGGGCGCCGCCGGCCCCAGCGCGACGTAGATCGGTCGGCGATGACGCCCACAACGGGCTGCATGATGAGACCCGATAGCGGGCCCGCGACCCATACGAGGGAGATTTTGGACTTTGTGAGGCCGAGCTCGAGGAGGTAGGGCGTGCAGTATGTCATTTCTACGTTCCATGTGAACCTTGAGAACCCAGGTGTTAGTTTTGTATCCGTATTTAAGAGCAAATTGGAAGATAATTGGTAGAAAAAAAGTCTCTTAGTTAAACGTACTGGAGTCCAATGAGCGAAGCAGTCAGCAATGCCATGCGTATACTCTCAGTTGGGCCCTTGACTGAGGGTGTCCCCCGCCATTGTGCAACAGACGGCATCTTTCTTTTCCCCTAATTCCCTTTGCCCGTCTACCGTGACTCTTTCTTCCCTCCTAGCTCCCTTCCCACGTACGGAAAAGGAAAAAAAGGGAAAGAAGGCGAGGGATGTGGGGGGAGAGCGGGACTCGGTCGCGTGCGTCTGACGTATGCAGCCCCAAGGTTCTCTCTCTGCGTGTCTCTGTCTGTCTACGGAAACGTGGGAAGGCGCATTGGGCGGTTCGTGTGTATGTATTCTGTCCTACTACCGTTCGATTAGGTCTATGCAGGGAAATCTCAGGCCGCCAAATAAAGGATTCTGGAAAACCAGAGAAGAAAAGGCTAAGAGGGCACCACAAAGAGAGTGAATAGAAGTTGGTTGGTGTTTCTTATCTTCTCTTGCTCTTGTTTCTTTTCCTTATCGTCTACTTCTTCTTTTCTTCTAGATTATCGAGTTTTGGCAAAAAATAATAAATAACAAAAGGGCGAAAGGGAAGACGCGAAAGGGGAAAAAGGAAACAAGGGGAACTCCGTCAGCAAGCTATCTTTGGGTTTGGCCATGTGTTCGCTTGATGAGATGAAGGCGGGGACCAGTGTAGGGCCCCAGAACGGGGAAGCGTTACCTAGCGTCCTTTGGACTGGGCGCGGGCCGGGCGAATCTTGGCGCGTTGCCCTTTCCTACCTGTCACTTACGTATGCTCCTCATGCATGTGGTTCGGAGTTTCACCTGCGAATACCACGGCTAGAGCACCCTGGCCTTGACTGCCGCATTGCCATGTCCGAATAAGCCCTTTCATCCCGGATTGCGCCTACGTAACCAATACTATACGGACAAGACTCGCAACTTCGCTTCCGTCTCCACATGGGGCACCGCCGGTCGTGCCGCATGCCCATCTGGCCATCTTGTCAACTGCCGCTCCATGCATGTGACGAGTAATTGTGCGCGACTTATGGACAATACTCTGGAAACCTTCTTGAACCTTTCTTTCCAGGAAGCTAACACCTGGTTACATAAGACGAACAATCAATAACTAACAGTTGAAGAAGACAAAAAATCTCATATTTCCCAGCATTAAATAACCCAACCCAAAATAAAGCGAAGTAGAGAAAATCAATACGCTCCATCTTCGTCGTCATCATCGTCGATACCGACCCCCAGCAATTGTATCGCCTTTTTTACCTTTCCTTCCATGCAGGTCCCAGCCTAGACAGTCAGAGAGACAGACAGCTACAACTACAAACATTCAGGGGAAAACGATAAGGCTTTCTTTAACGCTTCGTCTCGGTCATGTCTAAATGCCAAATCTTCGCTTACAAATATGCTCAAGTTCATGCCTCAATACCTTCTTCAATCGTTGCGTGTCCATTCATTCCCCCGCCGTTCATACCCATGCCGCCAGTCAGAGCGTTCATAGCATCGCCGTTGGATTGGCCGGCGGGCATGTCATCGTCAAACTCGAGTTTCTCTTGTTGCGCAATGGCCTGCTGAGACACTATCTCAGCAAGGCGCTTGAGGCGGGGTGTTTGAAGCCCTATGGAGGTGTTAGATGGGTTTGAGCAAACCAAAAACAGACAATTTAAGAAAAAGAGACCTTACATGATGGCGTGTATGTCTCCAAAGCAGTAATGACTCGAGGCTCCGCAATCTCGTATGGGCCGCTGTCCTCCATGTCGACTGCTGTGAGCAGCAGAACATCACTCTTCTCCGTCACTCGGGATGCGACAGCCTTCATGATTTCGCCGTTGATAGGCTGTTCGTAGTCTGCCACAAGGTACTGGTTGAGCAGCTTCTGGATCTGGTTAGGACTCAACATCCAGCAAATGTCCTGGATGATCTCAATGTCGTTCAATGTAGCCTTCTTTAGCTGAAGCAGCTTGGTAGCTTGCATAAGGTGCTCAAGCTGTAGAGTACCCTCGGGCATATCGTGAGACTTGCACCACTCCTCAATGCGGGTGATGTTGTAGTTGATCTGGAGACCACGCTTCCATGAGAGGAAGTTGCGGCGCATGAGCAGGTCGTTGAAGGCGGTGACACCGACCAGCCTCAACAATTCGGTGACACACTGTGTGATGATGGAGTCCTCAAGGTAGTATGCCTTCATAGCCTTGTAGACACTGTTGAGCAGGGTGAGGAGGTTGTCCATGCTGTAAGCAGGGGTGTTGCTGCCCTGGAGCAGCTTGCCAAGGAAGCGGTTGCTCTCGTTGGTAACGAAGCCGGGTAGTGATTGCGACTCGATGATGGCGGGAATGATCATCTTGTGTAGCTTCTTCTTGAGCACCTTCATCCAGGTGTGGTAAATGTTGAACTCAAGACTCTCCAAGTCGTGCTTGACAATCTCGAGCAGGCGGTCGTACTCGTAGTTGTCCGTCTTTTGTTGCTCGTACCAGTCTTCAGCGAGGAAGACAAAGGACAACATCTCATGGACATTAGATAGCCAGAAGGCGCCTGGGTTGATGGCATCCTCGGCATCGTGTTGCATGACCTCTTGCTGGATCGACTGCATGACGTTGGCAAGGAAGCGCTCAGACTCCTTGACGAAGCCATTGTTCCACATCTCCGAAGTGACGAGGTTGATGAGGTAGGCAGGGAAGAGGACTTCCTTGTCGGTGGGAGGAGGTGTGGTAGTGGGGGATGGGATCTTCAGGTTCTTAATGAGTCCGAGAGTAACCTCGTCGTTGAGCATGTCCTCCTCAGCAAGGATGTTCTCAAGCTCCATCTCGACGTTGTCAAGCTGAGCAAACGTTGAGCCGGAGAGGTTCTGCCTGTGGATGGTTGAGCCAGGGGCCATGGAGACAGGGCGAGGGTTGTATTGTTCGCTGAAGCGGTTGATGTCGCGAGTGTCGGGTCCGGCACTGCGCCTCTTTGGCTTCTTCGAGGAGACGAGCTTGATCAAGCTGCTGGGCGCAATGCTTGTAGCATGTCCATTGAGATCGCCGGCAATTGGTCCAGAGCGCTTCATCAACTCGACCTGCTCCTGGAGTTCGGCAAGTTGCTGGCGGAGCGACATCTTTTCTGTCTCGGTGACATTGCTCTTCCTCTTTGACTGCTCGAGGTCCTCGGTAGTCCTCTTGAGCGAAGCGCGGAGCTCCTTCTCCTCTTCTTGCAAGTGACGCATCTTGGCAGTGCTCTCTTCGTAGCTGATCTGCAGCTTCTTGTACTCGTCCTCCATCTGGCTCAGCTTGGCAGCAGTGATACCAGCCTGGTTGGCTTCGGCCTGGAGTTCCTTCTGGCGGTTCTCGAGAGTTCGGCTGCGTTCCTTGTATGACTTGATCTGACTCTCGTAGTTCTCCACTTGTGACTTGAGCGACTTGTTCTGTTCCCTCATCGTACCCAAGTTCTGAGTAAGCTCGACGACCTTGTTTTCCAACTTGTAGGAAATGTTCTTGAGATCGCGAGATTCGGCGCGCAGGACCTTGTACTCCTTGCGGGCCTTTCGTCCTCGCCACAGTTTCTGAACAGTAATGATTTGCTTGATCTGCTTCTTGTAGGCGCGGATGTAACGCTGCTTGCGCCAATTCCGCTGAATCATACGAGCAGCATCTCCAAGCCTCTTGTCCAAAATGTTCTTGCGGAGAAGGTATCCCTTGGCGGCAGCTTCGAACTTGATGACCGAGTTCCTGACAAAGAGGAAGCGCTTGCGGTCTTTGCTACCCCTCCAGACTCTTTGGATGGTGGTCGCAGCCCTGACCTGTCGTGCCTCCTCAGCGCGTTCTCTGGTCATGTAACCTCTAGCCAATGACTGAACCGAAATGACAGCTTCGCGCATCTCGAGATAGACGCGGCGGTAGTACTTGGCGCGGAGGTTCTTCTGGATCATAACGGCCGCATCATTGAGTCGCGCAGTACGCAGGTTCTCAAGGAACGCAAGCATACCAGCGCGGAAGAAGATCTTGGTTAGACCCATCTGGTACTTGTCGGTGCCATCATTCTTGCCAGTGCCCAAAGCCTTCTTCAAAATGGCTGTGGCCATGTTACGAATTTCCGGTGTCCATTCGGATGACCTGACCAACATGTAGTAACGTAGGGCGAATTCTTCGTACGTCCATCGGGTAGGATAACCGGCACAACTGATTCTGACCGTCTCGAGGACACCACAAGCACGCAATTGACTCAGAACCATGGGTCCGTCAAATTGCCAGGCAGCCTTTGCCTCGTTGGGCTTGATACAACGGATGTAGTGAACATCAGTCGAATTGATGGTTTGCATGAGCTCGATGAGCGAAGACTTGAAGATACCACCAAGCGTTGGCTTTCGGTTGGTAGCTACCCTGCGTCCTGCTGAGACTGCAGCACCCGGTTTGGCAGAGGCAGTGCTGGCTGTCTCCTTTTCTCGGATAGAAGCAGCAGTGTCCAAAACTTCAGTCAGGAACTTGTTGCTTGAGGCCTTGAGCACTTCCATGTGCTCGTCGGGCACAGTATCTCTGTTCTTCTCAATGAAGCCATCAGACTCGTATGTGACGTCGACGGCGTAGTGGCAGACGGTGAAGGCAGACTTTCCAAATCGAGGCTTCTTATAGAACTTGTGCTTGTCTCCCGAGTAGTTGTGATGGAGCTTGGTGACAAACTGCTCATCAGAACCCATGGGCAACCTAGACTCTTCATCCAAGAGGGACAGGATACCGAGCTTGCCCTCAATCAGGTCGATACACGGCTGATTGTCAGCGAAATCGATGAAAGTCCAATCAATCTTTTCACGCATGTACTCTTCCTGCTCGAGCTTGAAGACGTGTGCGTTGAACTCTTGTTGCAGTTTCTCATTGGCATAGTTGATACAGAACTGCTCGAAAGAGTTCTTTGCAAAGTGCTCGAAACCGTAGATATCCAAAACACCAATGAAGGTGTGGGCAGACGCAATGACCTCTTCTGTGGCTAAACTCTCGTTGGTTCGCTCTACTAGCCAGTCGAACAGACTTGAGTAGATGAATTTGGCAACTGAGTCTCGGACGACGATAGCTTGCTGTTGTGTCAGGTTGGAAACAATCTTTTCTCCTCTGGTAATGAGCTGCTTCTTTACGATCCACTTGGCAAACGTGTTTGCGTCAATTCCGAGCAGGGCACAAGCCTTGACAAGAGAGGGCTCCTCGGGAGAAAGATTCGAGTCTGTTCGTGTCGCAGTGATCTTGACATCTCCCATGTGCAAAAGTGCCGCAAGCAGGCGCCAGATACCGTCTTGGGTTTCGGACGAAACACCAATCTTGGTCAGCGATTGCTTCGTCGCCTTGAATTCAGCAACGTCGTCCATGCCCTCAATGACGGGAGCACTACCCTGGTTGAGGTAGCTGAACTCCTCTACCGACTTTAGCGAAAGCTGCTCACGCTCCTCGTCGGTAGCACCGGCTACCAGCTGGTAGAAGACGTGGTAGTTGCGCTCCTTAAGCGGCTGGAACACCAGTCTTGACCGCTCGAGCAGATATGTCCTGATCTTGGCACCGATAATGTCCGTCTGCTTGTTGAACATGATTTCAATGTATTTGCCGAAACGAGACGAGTTGTCGTTTCGGGTTGTTTTCGCGTTTCCAAAGGCTTCCATGATGGGGTTGGTAGCCAGGATTTGCTCTTCTGTCTCACTCATCTGGTCGGTCTTGCCTCTCCGCTTGCCCGGGTTGTCGGGAGACTCTCGTGTGGCAAAGTATCGCATAATGTATTTGGCACTGACTGTCTTACCGGCACCGGACTCTCCAGAAACGACAATGGTCTGGTTCTTCTGGTCGCGCAACATGTCGCTGTAGCGTGTTAGTCACTGCTAGCCAGGTTCCGTGCCGGTGGCGGAACAGGAGAAGAATTCTTACGCAAAAGCCTCTTCAGCAATGGCGAACAAATGCGGAGCACCATATGATCTCTGTTTGCCAGCATAGACCTGTACCATGCCGGGAACATATAGAGAGTCGACGCGGGCGAAGGGGTTCGTTGCAATCAGGACAATACCCGAATATGTGTAAATCTCCTTTTGCAAGTAACGAAGCTTAATGGCCTGGAGGACTGCATGCTGGTCAGTATGACATGCGCATTGTCTGCTTGTATAGAGAGGAAACCGTACCAGCCGGCTCGTTAAGATGTGACAGGTTGGTTAAGTCGTCGCTAGCCTCGAGCATGGCGGGGTTCATCAATGGCGGCAGTTTGTCGTCGTTGCCAGTCTGGATGGCTTCGAGAGTCGTCTCGACCGTCTTGGTCTGTACAAGACATGGTCAGTGTCCTCTTCCAACAGGCTTCGCAGTCCATGGGTGTGGGTGTGGGAGTACCTCGCCATTTTCCAGAGTGAAGACCAGCGTCACCTTATCCCCCGCAATCTGCTTGTCCGTCACCTCGGAGGCAACCCAGCCCTCGGTGGTGTCGGGCTGCCATGCGCGGGTGCCGATGTCGTAGATGTGAGCCATGGTGGGCAGTTGCAGGCGTCGTCTCCTGCGTGGTCTATGTCCTCCAAATGGCGGTGCGGAATATCAGGGTCCAAAGCGGCTCCCTGTAAGGAGGGGAGGGGGGGTGGATGGTCAACGCTCAGCTCGCGATATAAGTGCGGCCGCTGGCTTTGTTGTCGTGAAGCTACTGCTGCTGCTCGTCGTCGTGGTCAGCAGTGGATGGCGCTGCAGGTCACAGGCTTGACAGCATCCCCAGGAGTGAGAAGGACAAACGGTGTGGTTGGAAACATGCGAACACCTGCCAGCACTTGATTCGACTTTCTCTTGGTTGCGCTAGACGGGCCTCTCACCGCCAGCACGCCGCTTAAGCGCACAGGCCATGCCCCAGGGGCCCTACCCAACCACCAACCACGGCCACGCAGACTCTCGTCTCACAATATGCACCTCCTCGACGCTGCATGCGAATAAGCCGCACCCCCATGTATCGATGTGTCTACCGATCTGTGTGTATGGGTGCCTCTCTGTACCTGTGTGCCTCTATGCTTGCGTGTACATACGGCAACCTCAGACACTGGTCTACCGTATTCTACTATCCGCACTACGCCGAGCCATTCGCTCCCCACTCCCCCTCAAGCCCATGCCATTCCCTGCCCTGCAAATCCGTCATGCATGGCCACATCGCCGGCCTGATCCAGCCCGTCTACCTCCTGAAACCAGTTTGCCTCATTTGCCTTGTCTCGTCCATCCGAGATGTGTATATACATAGTACATACAAAGACAGTCTCGCACTCTCAATGTCTTTGTCGAGCGAGAAATCCTCCCGTCACCCGTCACAAGTTTGCGTCATCTGACAAGTACATATCCATAGACAGCATGACATGGCATGCATACATATGCTCCACTCTATCACGTGCTCCCCCCATACATCTCAGCTCCTACGGTACTCTACACCCTTCACAGCCACCCTTGTGTCATCACAAACACTAAAACAACATGCGTTTGCACAAACTCACTTCATCTCAATTAGATGTATTACCCTGGTTCACTCCAGTTTCATAAATCATGCATTCTGCCTCTATGTGTTTTTAGCAATGGCACTCCCCAGGCCCCAGCACACTTTTATACCAAGCAAACCAGTGCACGAACAAGTCTAACAAATACGACATATGCCTTTTTTGCTCTGCATGCATACACACAGACTCAACGTTGAAGTTTTTACACAGCGCCCCACCCTAGTTTCCCGTTTCCCTTTTCGAAGAAGAAATGTTGAATTGAAAGAGGCGTCATACTTCGAGACACAACGAGAGGAGAAATCACACGCCTCAAACACGTTCGCTTCGTTCCCTCACCTTGCTAAGTCTGAGGCACTTGTCGGAGACGAGCCAACCCCTAGTACAAGACCCTCGTTCGGATACACGCTGTAATCAATCCCGTTAGCCATGACCTACACTAAGAATAACTAGAGAACAAAAACTTACACGACAACTCCTCCAAGCTTGTGAATATATCCCGAATCTCACTCTCTTTAACCTCACTGATATCTGCCATCAGATAAGCAACATCGCCTCTCGAATCCGACATTTGCTTCTCAATGTTGTGATGCAGCAGAATGCCGTTGACCTGCCTCAGCACACCAGGCACGTTCTTGTGGATATAAATCACACGCATGCAGTCGGGCTGGTCGAGCGTCAAGCTTCGGAGATTGACCTCGGGCATGTTGACGGCGCCAAGCGTCGTGCCTTCATTGACATAGCGGACTAATGCTGTGCTGACCTCGACACCGATTGCGCTCTGGGCTTCCTCGGTACTGCCGCCAATATGCGGTGTGAGGATAATATTCTTGAGACCCACAAGATCCTTTGTCCACGTGTTCAGCTCGTTGCTGAAGTAGTCACCGTTACCGGCAGGCTCGTTGGGGAACACGTCGATGGCTGCACCCGCCAGCTTGCCGGAGCGACTGGCTTCAATCAGCGCCGCAATGTCAATGACGGTACCACGGGCATTGTTGATGAGATAGCTGCCGTCCTTCATCTTTGCAAATTGCTCTTTGCCAATCATGTTCTTCGTCTCGGCTGTTGCGGGCACATGTAGAGACACAAAGTCGGCCTGTGCGAGGAGGTCATCCAGAGACGGTACTTGTCGCGCGGTTCCCAGGCCCATGGTAGTCAGTACGTCGTAGTAAATGACGCTCATTCCCATGGATTCCGCCAGCACACTGAGTTGCGAACCAATGTGTCCGTATCCGACTATGCCCAGTGTCTTGCCACGAATTTCCCAGCATCCCTTGCTGACCTTATTCCAAGTACCGTTGTGGAGCTCCATGGAGCGGTCAGTAAGCTGGCGAGCGAGCGCAATGATTTCTGAGATAACCAATTCGGCAACTGAGCGCGAGTTGCTGAACGGCGAGTTGAAGACGGCGATACCCTTGCTGGCAGCAGTTTGAAGGTCGACTTGGTTGGTTCCAATGCAGAAGCAGCCGATGACAATGAGGTTCTTTGCTGCCTCGAGCAACTTCTTGGTGAGCTTCGTCTTGGACCGAATTCCAATCACATGGATATCACGAATCTTCTCGATCAACTCATCCTCTCCTAGGCTGGCTTTGATCGCCTCGACCTGGTAGCCCTGACCCCTCAAGATATCTACACCAGCCTCGTTGACGTTTTCCAAGAGAAGGACTTTGATGTCCTTGGTGTCAAACGGCTTCAGCTGTTTCGCCAGCTGCTGCGCATGCGACGTGCCGGGTAGGTTCGGGGTGCGACCATCTCTAGAGTTGGCAGACGGTGGTTGTCTGAATGTCGAGGGCGGGCTGTGGAACGAGAGGGATGGGCTGGTGCTGATGTTGAGGCTGTTGGATACGCTGCGTGAGATTTGGCTAATGTTGCCGGCAATATCTTGGGCGGGAGTCATGATGGGCGCGCGCGGGTGTGATTGCGGAGGTTGCTCGGGGGAGAGGTGGGTGGATGCTACAACTCAAAAAGGTCGTACAATCCGGAGGCTCAAAACCTCAGACTATAAATACCGCCGCGTTTCTACAACGGATACTAAAATGGGTCGCGTACCAAATGAATCACGCGGTAATATCAGGACGGGTTCCGCAAGGCTGCAAACGTCAATTGAAGAAAGGGAGTAGCGTCGACTGGTGAGCAACAGCAATTTCTCAAGGGATGCTTTCCATTTTAAATCAATACGTGTTCACTGCGTAGTTTAATCTCCGACTGCTATGACACCTCTACTTTGACTCAGTGGGCGTCTGACCAGACCTTTTTCAAAAATTTCTCAATTCTCCCGATGATGCCATGCCGCTCTAGCCTCTACCCCACTACCGCCGCCAGCCACTCGCTTGGTTGAGTCCTCCGCTTTTCGGAAGTCTAAATTCAAACTAGAACGCCCAGCAACAGACGCGCTACAAACAGTCACTCATTATGTAGGCATAGTGCTTTGCGACATAAAGACGTCGTCGCATTCATTATCTATTCAGCTACTTGTATTTCTGCATGGAAAGACTGCCAAGGCCGATCAATACACCAAGAGGGCGCAATTCGTTGCCGCTTTCAAACATAGTCACCAGCAGTCTTCTACAACTTCTGCTCATTCATTGGCCATTGGTATCCTGGGCCTGCATTAGCAAATTATTTCTAGTGCATTATATAGATCATGACTTACCTGCTGCGTCGCTGAACTTGTATCCGTAAGAAGAAGTAAAGTCATCCAATACGGCAGGACCACGAGAGCCTAACATGTAATTAGCAGTTGTATGATTCATACCACCTTATGAACCTACCGTATGGGTACTCCATGGGAATGATCTCCTTGTTGTCATCCAGATAGTGCAGCAGAGGAGTGAAGATCCTCCAGCTGGCATCGAGCTCATCGTCACGAACAAAGTTGGAGTGGTCGCCCTTGAGCGCGTCGAGAATAAGCGATTCGTATGCCTCTGGGATCTTCAGGTCGGAAAATCGCCGCCTGTAGGTAAGATCAAGCTCTGTGACAACGGTCTGCATGCTGAGACCGGGCAGCTTGGAGTTCATCTTAATGTAGACACTCTCGTTGGGCTGCACTCGGATGACAAGCTCATTACGGGGAATGTCCTTGAAAATACCCGAAGTAACGTCTTTGAACTGGATGCGGACCTCGGTCTTTTGCTCGTTGAGCGCCTTTCCAGCCTTGAGGATGAAGGGCACGCCGTCCCACCTCTCGTTTTTGATGTAAGCGACCATGGAGGCGAAGGTGGGGCATCGCGAGTCCTTGGGCACGGTGTCATCCTCCTTGTAGCCCGGCTTCGTACCATCCAGCGACTTTCCGTATTGTCCGATGATGACATTCTTGGGCTCGATGGAGGCCATGCCACGGAGGACACGCACCTTTTCGTCACGAATATCTTCTGCTGAGAAGGAAATTGGTCGCTCCATAGCAAGGAGTGTCAGTACTTGCAGCAAGTCTGCAATTGTTAGTAAATCTTTCTTTCTTTTCGGATTTTTTTTCGTCACTCACGGTTCTGCATGACATCTCGGATGATGCCAAACTCGTCAAAGTAACCTCCTCGTCCTTCGGTGCCAAAAGGCTCCTTAAAGGTAATCTGTGCTTGTCAGTGTCTTCATCTCCGAACATGCTCAGCTTGCCGTACCTGAACGTTATCGATGTGGTTCCTGTTCCAGGTTGCGCCAAAGAACTCGTTACCGAATCGGAGAATGAGAATGTTCTTGACCATCTCCTTACCCAGGTAGTGGTCAATTCGGTAGAGCTCATCTTCAGACCAGTCTGGAGCCAATGCCTTTTGCAACTCTCTTGAACTTGGGAGATCCTTGCCGAATGGCTTCTCGACCTGTACGATTGCAGTCAGCGGCATTAAATTGCATTGGGAAATGCATGTGGCTTACAATGACGCGGGCAATGCCGCTCTTCGGGTAGCAATTTCGCTTCAAGTGCTGAGAAACTGTGATGAAGACACTGGGAGGAAGAGCCATGTAGAAGACGCGGTTGGTCTCCTTGCGGCCCTTTTCAATCTCTTGCATATGCTTCTCGAGCTGGATGAATGAGTCGTCCTGGTCGTATTGACCCGAGACATAGGTACAGAAGTTGCAGAATTCGTCCAACTGCTTCTCCAAGTCCTTTGTGGGGGTCTTGATGTACGACTTGACGCGCTTGAGGTATTCCTCGTGGTCCATCTTGGTGCGCGCATATCCGACGATGCTGATGTTCTTGGGGAGGAAGTTGTTTCGGTGCTGTATCGATGGTCAACGGAAGCGGAATGCGAGTTTGGTCGCGTAACCTACAAGACCGAAGAGAGCTGGGAACTGCAGCGATGTTAGTGTGACGTCTCTACCGATTGGACATGGGCGTATACGTACAGTCTTCTTCTTGGCTAAATCACCAGAGGCGCCGAGAACAACAATGATAGTGTTGTCCTTGAGCTCCATGTTTCTGCAAGAGCATGTGAATTAGCAGTGGTGTTCAGAAGGTCTCGGTGATGGCTTATTGGATTCGGGTGTGGAGCGGCCCCGCCATTGAAAGCAGCAGCATTGTTCAGCAGGAAAGTGCGGCCGGAGAAATTGAGGCGAGACTGAGGAAGGCGCCTTGCAAGCAGTGGGCCATGAACTGTGAAGATGAGTAAAGCTACCTACCCGGCATTGACCTCCTCATGTTGAGGCTGGATAACTGTGTCGGCCATGGTGTGGTTCGGTGTGCAATCGCTCTGCGGGAGGCGCGGTCGCGAGGTCACAGCTCAATTAAGGGCTGTGATGGGCAATGAGAGTCAGAGGTGGAAGGGGGATCTTGAGGGAAGAAGGGAAGCTACGGGTAGGGCGTGATGAGTGGAAAGAAAAGCTCCAGCGACTGGTGGGGTTATCGGACGTGCTCTAGCGGTTTACAGGCCCTCGTGGTGGTGACGTTTTAGCCCCAATTTGCCGCTTAGACGCCGGGGGATATGATAGTACCCTCACTGACAGACACAGACACAGACACACGGCTTGCCCACCTAGGCGTCTCAGTGCCGTCTGACGTGGTTAAAAGGGGCCATGGGCCATCAGTCAACATCCGGGCTATTTGGCACAATCACTAAGCCGCCGCATCTCTCGCAACGCACTTCCGGTCCACGCCAGCCCACCAAGCCGGGCGCCGGCGGAAGAGGCTGGTCCAAACTCGGCGAGTCCTGTCGCGGACAAGACTACTGTGGCCTTGCACCGCTTCGGACATCCGTCACCAGATGGAGCACGACAGATTTGCATGGCTGGTCAGCATCAAAGTGTTGGGCCATGTTTGTGAGAGCGCTCGCAGTGTTGCGTTGCGTTGCGTTGAGCATCCAGTCGCGCCGTTATCATGCGGGCGACCTACCCCGCTATCGAGCAAAGCTGTCCGAGTCCACCACTGCACCCTACCACACTCACCACCATCTGCAGTGCAGATACGATTTAGAGTATACACAAACTAGGGTGCGTCTGCGCGTCTCGCCTTCTTGGCCACTTGCAATCCAGATCGTCACATTCCTCCGACCCCTCCTTGCGTATCCAGGCCAACTGGGCTACATTGGTAAGCTAGCTGCCATGGTGGGGCCCGCAAGCTGTAATGCACGATTCCCAGTCAAGCACCACCCGACAATGCCGCCCTGACGCGAAGCCATTACATCTACCACGCCGAATCGCCGCGCGGAACTTGTACCGAGTGTCTTCGCTAACCACTTGTCCGTCGGGACAATACTGTGATTCGCTCTCGTCCGGCCTGTATTTAGCCTCATTTGTTGCGATGATGCACCATTGAGGCCGCACTCCTTTCGCACCCAATACATCAGCCTTACACCCACTTTTGCGTGGGGGTGGGTGAGCTCTTCATCCACCGCCGCGGCGCGGGAGCGGAACCAATACTACAATAGAAACTAGCACCCAGGTTTCATACCTGGAACGTCACAAGCCATCCTCCGCATCAAATATGCAATGCAAAGTAAGCATCAAGCGATCCACTTACAAGTCACGCGGGGACACTGAACCCAAGGCGAAAAAGAAAGGACAAGCACGCATACGATTACTAGACCAAAGGATTCATTAATCTCCCTAGCTCCATGACGAATACATAACCACAAGAGTTACTATGCCAACTATTGTGCTCGTTCGTTGGCATTTACGAAAGCTCTTATTTCCATATTCATCATATCCACCGAATACGATACATGCCGTTTACATATTTCCGTAGTTATAACTGGCATCTGGTCGACCCCGATTAGTCGTACACAACGTTCGATGGGTATATCCGCCTCTGCATTGCAACTCAAGGCTCTCATATCAGCGTTTGGGTAACCCTCACAGGTCATTGGCGGCGAAGAGAGCTTTAGCACAGCTGTGGTCCCCATGGCGGCCCTCAAAACCAATTTGGGAGCAGAAGCAGAGCGAAGACAGTGCATTAACCACTGTTGATATTGGGGAAATTTAGATTGTTTTGACGTGACGCAGATCAGAGACTCAATAAGGCCCCCCTTTACTTACTTCGGTGCCCTCGTGGTCCTGGGGCTGAAAGGTGTAGATGCACAGATCTCCCGCGTCAACTCCGCAGTTTCAGAGTTTCGTAGCTTCATGGCGCACGACCTTACTTGTACTCATAGACTAACTCCCATCTAGAAAGTCATTCAGCGCATGTACATGTAGTCTGATGACAACCAATCAGAGTTAGCCACAGTATTCCGTGTTATAGGCTTGATACTCAACCGCCCCGCTGTGCATATAGATGATTTTTGGTGCTATATCAAAAACGAGTTTATCGGAAATGCCTCACTTGTTGCGCTAAGCAGAACTGAAGATTGTTTATCTTGCTGTGCTGTGACTGGTATTTTGGACTGTGACTGTTGTATGCGATCAAATAGCTGGTCTCTTTGACGGCAAGCATGTAGGAGCTGTGCTTGTCGTAAGTTTGATGGCAAGTTTTTGCTGTAACCCCCTCGTTGCTTATATGATGAGCAGCAAATGAAACACTCACGATCCTACTGATGTGAGAGGGTACACTGCCTCGCATCATTTTAGCTTCCAGCTACATATGACCACGTGACTCAAACTTGTGGCCACTCAGTCCCAATCTTCGTCCTCGTCTTCCTGCTCCTTTGCTTTGCTTCGCTGCAGCCTTTGCCTCTCATCCTCCTCGTTGACCTTGTTTCTTGCAAGTACGTTTGCTCGAATAAGTCTAGCCTCCAGATCGCGAGTCGTAAATGTTTGCTCAGTGTGACCAAGCCCCTCAAATCCAATAATGCGATCAGCTCCCACACCGTCAATGAAGGCAATGACACATGGCAGGACCTGGATACCCAGACGAGTAACAAGAAAAGGACAGTTATCGACGTTGATCTTGAGAAATCGGGCCTCATAGTGTGAAGGGGCCAGTGACTGTTTGGTTTCAGCAAAACAGCCTTATTGTAAAAAGGAGTGGTTTTACCTCGAGATGAGTATCCATGATGCGGCAGCGGTTGAAGTCGGGCTTGAAAAAGTGCACCACACACAGTTTAGTGCTTGTTGTGATGTCCATCAAAGCCTTCTCGTCTTTAATCTCGGAGTATCTCCCATGGTCGCTCTCTTTCAGTCGTCGCGCCTTGTCGTACTCTTGATGCAACTGTTGAAGTCGTTGCTCGCGGAATGCATCTAACTCCTCGTCATCTTCCAGGGAGGCAATGAGTGCATCTTCGTCCGAATCATCCTCTCGTGCAGCCTTGTCGACGAGCGAAGCAACTTTTGGGTCCAGAGACGCCATTTCGGAAATTGCCCAGGTCACTTGTTGAGCGGTTAATCAGGGGAAAGAAAGTAGCGGTGCGATAAGGCAGGTCACGTGGCGATAAAGAGCCCCAGTGAAGATCATCCGTCTATGTATTCAAGTACCTCAGTGAGGCAAGTATTTGCTGAAAACGCAGCACTAGATGCACTTTCCATAAGAACAATCCTGCATCACAACTGTATGGTACAGTGTATTTCCGAGATCAAAAATAGAACCGGATGCAGGCCCGAGTGCAGGTTGCGGTGCTGACATGTACATACGGTTTTCTCGTGTTCAAAGGCGGTTTAGTGGCATTTGAAATTACCACGGCTGCAAGCCAACGACTCCAAACCAGGGGAGACTGCATCGCTGTGACCCACCCCATTCGCGTCCCTGCGCATCCTTCTAGTAACGCTCACCTTTCCCTCCTTGTTCCACCCTCCTGTTCTCTCTTTGCTTCTTTCCTTCCCTCCCCTCAACAACTACATTTTTTGGGGTCGCACTGTCGCCGCCACGTAGCTGTCCTTATCGCTGGACTTTCCTGTCGTTGCCGCATACCACCTTCAATTATTGTGAACACATTTCTTCTCTCTCACAATGTCCGACGATAAGAAGAGCGACGACTACAGAGTCGACATGCCCTCGGGCAAGGAGTTCCGCGCGCCCTCCCCGCTGCCTCGCGCGTCCAATTCACATCGGGGCGGGCCCACGTCCATAACAGAGAACCCAGTCGCTGCCATCCTGGCCTACTGTGGTTCCTCCATTCTGATGACCGTTACGAACAAATACGTCCTCTCTGGCGTCGACTTCAACCTCCCTTTCTTCCTTCTCTGCATACAGGTATGTCGGCTTCATAGCCTACAAGACGGACTCTTTTTAACACACCACAGTCTGTTGTCTGCGTTGCAGCAATTTCGATATGCAAGAGCGCTGGTATCATCACATACCGCGACTTCAACAGTGATGAAGCAAAGAAATGTACGTCTATCATATTTCGCAGCTCAAACTTGGTCTAACAGCAGCAGGGTTTCCCATCTCTCTTCTCCTCATCGGTATGATCTATACGAGCACCTGGGCCCTCAAGTTCCTCTCGATTCCCGTCTACACCATTTTCAAGAACCTTACCATCATCTTGATTGCATACGGAGAGGTTCTCTGGTTCGGTGGTGCTGTCACGCCAATGGCGCTCTTTTCTTTCGGATTGATGGTCTTCAGCTCCGTCATCGCGGCCTGGGCAGACATTCAGCACGCTTTGTCGAGTATGGGACAATCTACAAGCGCATCCACAGACGCCATGTCCACTCTGCACGCTGGCTACCTCTGGATGATGTTCAACTGCTTGTGCACAGCTACTTATGTTTTGGGCATGCGCAAGCGCATCAAGCTCACCAATTTCAAGGACTTTGACAGTGAGTTTATTCTGGTTCACTACCATGAGCGGTATGCTAACTCTAAACAGCCATGTACTACAACAACCTCCTCACCATCCCGATCCTGTTGGTTGCCTCGATCCTCGTCGAAGACTGGTCCTCCGCGAACATCCAGAAGAACTTTCCCCCTGACCAGCGCAACACCGTCATCACCGTCATGGTCGTGTCCGGTCTCTCCACAGTCTTCATCTCATACACTTCCGCCTGGGCTGTCCGTGTCACCTCGTCTACCACATACTCTATGGTTGGCGCTCTGAACAAGCTCCCCATTGCTCTCAGCGGTCTCATCTTCTTCGATGCGCCCGTCACCTTTGGCAGTGTTTCTGCTATTTTTATCGGTTTCGTCAGTGGTCTGGTTTACGCGCTCGCCAAGATCCGACAGAACAGCCAGCCCAAGACGGTCCTCCCCACTAGCAACATCCCACTCAGCGCCAGCAGCAGGAGCATGCAGGACAGCCTGAAGTCATAGAAGCCGTTGAAGGAGCACGACGAATACTATCAGACATGAAGGAAAATGACTCTGGGTCCTTTATTTGTGGCATTTTGCGTGGTTTCGGATGCAGAGCATGGCTTCCTTTTACTCCTAACTCGGCACTTGACTGAGAAGGGAGTTTTGATTTCTTTGGGTATTTTCATGTACCTCTTGTGCCTTTGGGCATGTTACCTACACCATTTAACAAATTAGATCAGGCTTGGCGTTCCGGGCAAAGGCAGCGAGCCATGACGTCCAAGACAGAGGAGTAAAAAGAGGAGCGAATCGATTGATGTATTAGGAACTTTTATCATATCAAGAATGTTTAAACTTTAGACGGAAAACTTGATTCAATTGCCCATTTCTATATCGCCTATGTCGTCACCGAAAAGAAAACAAAAAGAAAAAAACGGCTCAATCCCTAATCTCCCACGCCTGCCCTGTCTCCCTCTCCCAAGCCCTAAACCCCCGTGTCCCCCCAACATACCCACCACCCCTTCTTCCCTCTCGTCCTCCTCCTCCCTCTCCTCCACGCCCAACCTCAATCCTGACCTCCACCTCCCCCCGCTCATTCGTCGCATACTGCCGTACCACCTCACTAATCCTCACATTAGACCCAGGCTCCTGCCACTCCCCCCTCAACCTTACACTTGCCCTTACGTCTGCATACTGCCCTTGCTGCACCAACTGACTTACTACATCTCGGAAGCGCATATCGCCTGCCACCGTGGCGCGCAGCTGGTGTGTAGACGATGGGGTGTCGATGCGGATGTGCAGCGGTGTTAGTGTAGGAGGTAAGATAAGGATGGAGGAGGAAGTGTGGGTGGATGGGAGGTTAGCGAATGTGTTATGGGGTAGTTTGAAGGATGTGCGGTGGAGAGGGGGAATGACATTGTTGATGCTATTGGCGTTGTTGTTACTGTTGTTTTGGTTTCTAGGGGGTGAGTACTTTACGTGGGTGAGACTGGAGTCGGATTCGGATTGCAGGTAAGTGTCTTCTGTTTGATCGAAGTCTGAGGAGGTGGGCGAGGGGTCTGCGTAGATTGAGTAGCGGCGGGCCGGATGCGGGTGATGCTTGTGGTTGTGGTGAGGTGTCATTGGGTGGGCGTGTCGGTGGTCTCTAATGTACGAGGGGAGTTGTACGCGAGATGTACCTGACACGATGTAACTGGTGCGTGAGAAGGCTGGTGGGATGGGGTGACGGTGGAAGGCATCGGCATCGAATAAGTGATCGAACATTGTGTTTTTTTTGGGTTGCTATCCAGAGTCTATTAAGACGGGTGAGGGAGGTAAAAGCGCTCGTTTGGAAAAGCTAATTCAATCCTCCATACAGAGAGAACAGAAGAAATGCAGAGGAAAGAACATGGGATGTTCACGAATTTGTCGTGGACTACTACGCTTAATATCCTTTTCTTCCGGCTCGGAATCATGCACTGCCGTTTGACTTGGGAAACGAAATATCGGAATGATACATATTCGTGCTACCCAATCTCGGAATTCGACTGGACTCGTGATTGCTGCCACGACCCGGAACTACAAGCTTTGATAGCGTGTTATCGTTTGTTTGCTTGGGCAGCATGGCATTCGCTTGCACGCTTGTGTGATTGAAGTCTCTGTGGTTTGATCGCTTTCCGTTAGGAAGACGGAGCTTTCATGATTGTAGAGGCAAACCAAACCGACTCTCCCTGCTATTCTGTGACATTGACTCGAACATGTTACTACATACCACGAAATGATAAAGAAAAAAAAGGACATGACCATCAACACCGTTCCTGCGCACGCCTAACCAAAGACAGTTCACACCCTTATCCTGACATTTCGAAATCTCAGCAAAAGAAGTGCGGCTTTCGGAGTAAAATAGCTCATAGAAGCTAAGCAAAACTGGAAGTGATTTGGGGCTCTTGTGATTCGAGGGTGTGTCGCATGCTCTGCAAGCTCGAAAATCGATTCGCTTAGCCGCCCATTTGACAACTTTTGCCTGCACGCTTCCGGAACAATTAGCCCTCTACGCCTCGCCGACCTTGGCAGCACCTCCGCTCTTCTTCTTCTGCTCTACCTTGAGCAATAGGGCACGGTTGATATGCGGCAGAACACCTCCAAAGGCAATGGTGGCACGGATAAGCGTATCGAGTTCTTCATCACCTCGGATAGCGAGCTGGAGATGGCGTGGCGTGATGCGCTTGACTTTGAGATCCTTGGCAGCGTTGCCTGCAAGCTCGAGAACCTCAGCAGTCAGGTATTCAAGAACGGCAGTCAGATAGATGCTGGCTTTGGCACCGATGCGCGTCTTCTGGCGCGTGAGATTTCGGAGGTGACGCTTTATGCGACCGCAAGGGAACTATAGAGGAGGAGTAATGTTAGCGCGTCGTCCCTGTGCGCAAGCTGTCAAAGTATGGGCGGGGTGTCGTCGGGTGATGACGCGTATAAGGCATCAACTCACTTGAAGACCGGCTTTGGCGGAGTGCGATTTTGGGGTCTTGACTTGGGAATCGCCCTTTCCACCAGTCTTGCCTCCTGTCTTTCCTATGCATCTTTGTCAGCCCATTGCGATGTTGCAGGGCGCGCGGCAAGTCAGCGCGTACCTTTACCACCGCCAGCCATGTCTGGAGATTTATCTTAGGGCTATGTTGGGATCAATAGTATGTGCGAATGTGCGCGACCCGGTTGGCGGAGTCTGGAGGTGGATTCGATGTCGTGGTGGTTGGCGGGGGGTGGGGTGAATGTGGTAAAGTCTTGCCTGGGAAGGTTCCAATGTTGTGACAAGGTCGTAGCGTCGACCGCCTTTGTACCAATCGGGAAGGCTCCACTTGGCATGAGCGAAAGTCAAGCCCTGGTATCTGATCACAGGACTGCGCATGAAATAGTCGCCTGTGCCACAGTAAGATGGATGCTGCCTTGTCTCTTTCGGTGATTTGCGTGTGACATAATGCCCATTAGCTGTGGTTGGGGGTGGGTGGCTGGTGGCTGGTGTGCATGCGCTGGGCCAGCTCGTCGTGCAATACCCAGCACAATGCTAGCTGCGAACAGAGAGCATGGAAACAGAACCAAGCAATGACCATTCAATTAATGTAGAAACAAGACAGAAGCTGATGGCCTAGCGAGCAGTATGCAACATGCAAGTCTTGGATATGCAAGTGCTGGATACTGCTCGCACTCAAGGCTTGAGCCCAAAGTGTCTTCCTGTTCTGGGCTGGGCGCCGCGCAAGCTTACTGGAAGATTCAGGTCATCTTGTATCAACGCATAGCTGGGTGATAGGTCAGTTATGTGGTCAGATTCGAGGGCCGGTAATTGAGGGGGTACAGTGTATGTTGTGTCGAGTGACGTAACATGTGTACAAAATGCACAGATGAGAAAGGAAAATTAGTGAAACTTGGACAGGAGACGACATAAGTAAGAAAAGAGATGGGAAGAGGGACAGGAAGAATGAGAAAAGAGACTCACGAGTGAATCAAGCTGGCTGGGATTGTGCCATGGACATGTTAGCCAGTACATCCAGGTGCCGGTTTGGGACAGGCGTGGGTTTGCATAGGCAGCTCATGGCTGATATACAGAGCGTTGACGGAGGCAGGTCGAGTAAAATGGTGAAAAGAAGATTTGGAGTAGCTAGCATGACGCTGCTGGGTGGATAGGCAACATGCCCAAGCTAGACGTGTGCAATGGGAGCATTATGCATGTTGACAGCACTGTGAAGACGCTCCATCTGTTCGCAGCGTTGGTGATAGGGCCCGTGCGCCAGGGTCCCGCCCCGGCGCTACCTTACCACTGCATGGCACCCTCCCCTGTGCAACGGAATCGCCATGTGCATGTTGCTGCAGCTCTCGAAGCCAGCAGCTTGAGCGCATCCACGCCATATTCACTGCCCTCCCCGACTTCAGCTCCGTCCTCACGCCCCCTCCGTCTCCCTACCCCCCACTTGCGCCCTGAGGTGGGAGAGATTCTCTGTTAGCGACACGTCGACCGCGCAGTTGCCGACCCCCGACGCCGCATGCCAACACCAGCTCTGACCCTCACAGACTGCTCAGTGCGCCGCCACAGGATTTCCGTACCCATCTCATGGCCTGGCAGTCGCCCTCGGCCATGAACGGCAGCGGTGCCAATGGAGGCGCTGACGGGAATGCGCCCGCCGGCACCGAATACACTCTGCAGGGTATGCTGTCTTCTTTTATGCTCGACTGGTAGCGCTCCGCCGGCGGGACAGTAGTGGGCTAACCCAACGGCCAGGTGTTATGCGATTTCTCCAGCTCGAATGGCACAACCACGAGCGTGCCCGCAATGCATGGGACATTGAGCGCGCAGAAATGAAGGCCAAGATTGCAAAGCAGGAGGGCGAGGTCCGTAGTGCGAAGAAGCTCAACGACCAACTCAACAAGCACATCCGCATGCTCGAGCAGGCCCTCACCAACGAGAGGAAAAACAAGGCCAACGCTGCAGGCGGCGATGCTGCCGACGACAAGAACGACCCCAAGGGTAAGAAGACTGGCGCCGGCCTGACTAAACGTGCGTACACAATAAACATGTCATGGCGGGCCCCTGGTATACTGACATGTCAACACAGCCCAGAACACCAAGCACAACTCCTTCCTCGACGTCGATTCCGAGTTCCTCGACCGCTCCGAGGCCGATCGCGACGGTCTGCGGGAAAAGTCGAAGCTCTATCTCACAAAATGTGTTGAAGAGATTACATATCTCCTTACTCCCCCGCCTCAACCCCAGCCCCAACAACAGGGCATGCAAGCCCTCGCAAACGGCACTGGATTCATGGGCCATGGAGACGCCTCTATGGAAGATATCTACCTGCAACAACATCGCCAGAGGCTGCAGTCGCACCTTCCCACCATGCCCGGACCCCTGCCCAACTACCAGCCCCCTAACATTCCCGTCACTTCTGAACTACAGAATCTGCCCCCCCACCACCAGATCCACCATGCCCCGCAGATGGCTCGAGAGCCTTCCCAGCAACAGCCACTCGCTCAGAACCCAAGTTTGACCCAGGACCTTTCTGGACAGCAACGTCAACCCCTAAACCAGCAACACTATTCTTCCGTGCCTGACGAGCAAGTCGAGAAGGTGACGCATGCTTTTGACAACGCAGGCCGGCAAATAGCAGGTCAAGAGGAAGATGCTGCAGGAGCAAATCAGGTGCCAGCCCAGGAAAAAGAGTCCGACGAGTGGATTTTTGACCCTGCGTCCGATGTAGCCCAGGAAGGGCCACCGAGGAGACCAGACGTCGAGGAGTTCCCATCCGCAAACAGCATTCCTGCAAAATCTCCGCCCCGGCCAGCCAAGAGAACAAGTAAAGATCACACTAGACGACTGAGCAGTGACCACAAGGCTCAACAAGTCGCTGCACAAGCGGCCTCAAAAGCGGATCCGCAAAGTTTCAAGGTCCGATTCGCCCTCCGTGGTCATCTGGATGTCGTACGGTCCGTCATCTTCACCGGAGGCGGCAGTCCTAGCGAACCAGAAATTTGCACAGCGGGAGACGATGGTATGATCAAGAGATGGATGATACCTGCAAGTTATGCGAGTCAGCACACCATGAACAATGATTTGGACATTCAACCTTTCTGGTCGCACAGAGGCCATGAGGGTGCTGTAACATCCCTAGCTGCTTGCCCCGCCTCTGCCCATTTTGCAACTGGTGGCAGGGTATCGGGTGACGGCTGGATATTCTCGGGTGGCCAAGATGCGACAGTTCGCGTGTGGGAGCGAGGCCGCGTCGATCCAAAAGCCACCCTGGAAGGTCACACCGATGCTGTTTGGACAATGTGTGTTCTCCCCACCACTTGCGGAAATGTCTTCGGAGCCGACAGCAGCAAATACGGCGGCGCAGACCGAGTGATACTGGCTTCTGGCTCTGCAGACGGAACCATCAAGATTTGGGCAGTTAGTGCGCCGCCCCAGTTGGTGTCGCCTCAAACTGGGTCACGCCGCGGTGTTGGTGGTAGTCGAAGGCACTCGGTTACTTCTGGATCGAACCACCCATCATCGCCACAGCCGAGCATTGCTACCAGCACACCATTCCATTACATGCTCATTCACACTATTGAGCGCGACACGCACCCCTCACCTACATGCATCAGCCCGCTCTCCCCCACTGGCGAGAATTTCGTTGTTTCTTTTACTGATGCATCGATATTAGTATACGACACAAGAACAGGCGAAGAGTTGATCGGTATGGCCAGTAACGAGTCCTACGATGGTACACCAGCGACTGGTATTACCTCTGTCGTGACGAGCTCCCAATACCTCGAAGGTCCATCACAAGAGGGGGGCCGCGGCGGTTCTGAGGAAGAAGGGATACATGGTCCAACCGGATCAAACAGTAGCGGCGGCCTTGAAGGCGTCATTATAAGCGGGCACGAAGATCATCTCATCAGATTCTTCGATGCCAACTCTGGTATGTTCCCCCCAATGGTTTACTAAGATACTTTCTCTAATGTCGGTTATAGGCCAGTGTACATACAGCATGCTCGCGCACCCCGCTGCCATCTCTTCTCTTTCTCTCAGCAAAGATGGCCGCGAAGCTGTTTCTGCTGGCCACGACGCTTCTATCCGCTTTTGGTCACTCGACAAGCGTATTTGTACCCAAGAAATTACCGCACATCGTATCATGCGCGGCGAAGGCGTGTGCAGTGTCGTCTGGAGTCAGGACGGCCGTCTCGTTGTCTCGGCAGGTGGTGATGGCATAGTAAAGGTCTTTGCAAGATAGCCTCTTGTGGACCCAGTAACTGTGACTTCACCTCGCATAGCTGAACCTCCATCATTTCGCGTGAACTATTGGCATTTTTAGTTGGACATACCCCGGGGTTTCCATCCCCTGTAGCATCATCATGCAACGGACTGGAATCGATGTAGACAGCATGAATGATGGGAAATGTATGGGGTCATGGTAATTGTTTTTCGTTTCGATGCGCGTGCATCTCAGCCGATGTTTCTCGTGCTCACCTCACAAGAGGGCTCGGATTGCCTACTCGGGCAAGTGATGGGACGGGTATGCGTCGGCGCATTCACGTTATCCTTTTATACTTTGTATTATATGGCAGGACAATAACCCGGTGCTGTAATGGCATCTCCTGGCAACAGGTTGTATTGTAGTCCGCATGAAACGACATTGACGAAGGGTAATTTGCAGGAAGAGCGCTGTGTAGTGAAGAGTCGATATTGCACAACGTTGGGTTGGCTAGCCGATTGTCGCTGGGTAATCGGAATGACGCCATTCGCCACGTGCAATTGGGCATCTCAAATTATTCCTCGCTGTTTGTCGGCGAGTCCAACAACATCAAAGCTAACTAAAGCTACACGCTACTACACACTGCGCGCTTCGGAATAATTATAATCTTCTGTACTACCATTGACTGCAAAATGAAGGCATACTGGTTCGACAATCTTGAAGTAAGTTCGTACTGTTCGGTCCTCCACGACCTAAACACATGACTTACTTCGTCAGGGCGACCAACGCCTACCTCATGACTCTGGTCGCTCAGTAGATCCAGACTATCTGGAGAAACTAGGCGTCGTCTACCACCACGTCCCCGAAGTCTCTGGCGTTGACGAGATTGCTACATCTCGCAACTACAAGAACCGGGATGAGGTTACCATCAGTCCCGAGAAGATGGGCGACATTTACGAGGAAAAAGTGAAGACTTTCTTCAGTGAGCATTTGCACGAGGACGAGGAGATTCGCTACATTCTTGATGGTGCGGGTTACTTTGATGTCCGAAGTGAGGGCGACGATTGGGTCAGGATTTGGCTTGAGAAGGGTGATTTGATCATCTTGCCGAGCGGCATCTATCATCGCTTCACCACTGATGAGAATAACGTAAGTTAAGAATATAGCGCCTTTGGAATCAAAGAAAACTGCAGTACTAATCTTGCATTACAGTACACCAAAGCTATGCGATTGTTCAAGGATGAGCCCAAGTGGACGCCGCTTAACAGGGACAAAGAGACGGATGAGAACCAGTACCGAAAGGAATACCTGAAGTTCAGACAGGGCCTTGCTGCGTAATGGAGATTAATCAGATCAACTCCGAAACTAGTTATTGTTGGTTTCCTCGTAAAAATATTTTTTCTTCTTCAATTCCCGGCTTTCCCGGCTCAGCTCTCCACATTCCGTCTTTGCGCCCAGTCCTGTCTCCACATCCTAAATCCACTCTCACTATTACATGTTCACCGCTCTAGCTACGACCGCCGAGGCCCCCGATCCAGGTACACCTTAAGGTTTTGTGGCACCAATGAACATTGATTATCGGACCTATTTGATGCGACCTCGGTAGAACAACAACGCGAAGTGTGTAAACTTTCTTATGCGCAGCCCCCTTAAGCCGACATGACGGCATCATGCAACCAACGAGGTAGTCCAAATCTAGAAATCTGGGGATCCCGTAGTGCGATCGGTAGATGCGGAGTGCATGTCTGGGGTATCATTATCCAATAGACATTGTGTCCACCCTCGGGCATTCAGCATTGCGCAAAGGCCCGATGGCTTGTTTACCGGGATAAACATTATGTTAAAAAGTACCTGAGGGCTCGCTCCTGGTACCAGCCAGCACTTGGGTTCTGGCGCAGATTTCCATGATGGTCAACCTCAATATATACCTATTGGGTGCTTGCGCTTGGGGGCAGGTTACCTACGCGTAAGTAATGCCGGAATAAGCATTCGCGTTACTACCAACTAATATTAAAGCATAGATTCGTCGATTACGGCAACGTCTATCCAAGAAAATACTCGCTCAGCGCAGATGTTCAAGTAGCTGATCAGAGTTACGACAATACTACCACAATCACGCTGTCACCTGCGCATCCCGTCCTCACGCTCGATTATGGTACCGAGATTGCCGGCTTCCCGTTCTTCGTCGTTGCAGAAGGCGCATCCCCGGCACAGATTGAGGCCGCATACTCAGAGGCCTTTGCGTACCTCGACGACGAAAATGCTGATGGACCATGGACATTTTCCAACGGCCTAGCGAACAGTTGGCGGGTTGAGACATTCAACATCACCAGTGGAGGTCACACTGAGAGCTTCTTTGTGCAAGGTGGGCAGCGATGGCAGTCCATCCGTCTGCTTACGAATCATTCCTTGACCCTCGAGAGCATTGGCTTCCGGGCAACGAGCGAGCACAAAGATGTGGACCAGCAGCCAGGTCACCTAAGGACCAGTCACGACGTTTACAATAAAATTTTTGATCTTGGTGGGCAAGTCGTCCAAGCGGCTTGCGTGGATGCCGGCAATGCGCCTTCGACCTGGGAGCTAACTGACGAGGGAGCGTACATTCGGGGTCAGACCAGCGCTCAATCTTCTATCGGGCGTGTAATGGGCGCTGCCAACTACACATTGGAATTTGATACAAAGATTGTAAGAGGCGGAACAGGGTGGCGTGTAGCCAGCGCGATTCAACCACTCGGACCGTATTTTGTCCTGACTTCCAACTATCCAGAGCAAAACACGTTTGTAAACACGAACAGAACGCTGCTCCCGCCCAATACTTTGATTGTAAACGGCGGATGGAGCTTGCTCAACCAGTCTACTCTAGAAACGCCCGCGAACCAGTATTATCCTCTGAACATTTCGGTGGAGGAGAACAAGTGGTACCACATCGTCACGGCTATCAAAGAGGATGGGTACACCATCAGTCTCAACGGAGAGAACATTGCTTTCGTCCCACTGCCGCCACCAATATCACCTCCTGTTTTCTTCAATACAGCCTCTCGGTATGAAGGCACATGGGGTTTCGGAGGCTTCCAAGATCAAATCGCTGTCGTCGCAAATGTATCAGTCGTTGCATCCAACAAGACCATTATCTACACCAACGATATGAAATCTCCGGGTGTCCTGGCCGAGTATGCCGTAGCACCGCTCGATCACTCTATCTGTCTGGATGGCGCAAAGCGCGACCGTCTAGTCTGGATTGGAGACTTTTACCACACCGTCCGCGTACTGGCTCAGTCGAGCGCACGATGGGACTACATCATCGGATCCATCGATTACGCCTTTGGCTACCAGGCGAAATCCGGGCCCTTCGCCGGTTTCGTACCCATATCCGCACGACTAGGCACGCGACCAGAATACTCGGACGCCGACCCAGCAGGACCCGGTCTAGTCGACTACCAAGACCTCTTCCTCGCCTCAATCGGCCAATACTACCGCTACACAGGCGATGCAAAGGGCCTAGAGCCATACTGGGAAAACATCAAAGCACTCCTCAAAGCACGTCTCACCTACATAGACCCAACTAGCGGTCTCGCAGCCGGAAGCCCTGCCGCTCCAAACCCAGGCTCCTTCCTCGGCCCCGCAAACGGCACCGCAGTAACAGGCCTAATGTCTTTCGCGCTCCAACAAATCGTGCCCCTAGCCCTCGCCTTCCAAGACACGGCCACGGCCTCCCTCTGCAACACCACCGCCCTCTCCCTCAACGACGCCCTAAACACTAAACTCTGGAACCCGGAGCTAGGCACCTACTCCCTCGACCTCACCTCCCCTGGAAACTTCTCACTTACAGGTATTGCGTGGTCCATCCTCAGCGGCGCAGCAAACACCTCTCAAATCACTTCTTCCCTCGAAAAACTCGAAGCGCTGCGTTTCGGCGCCGGCTACAAGACCATTTCTTCAGAAGAAGAAACACCGGAATACCAACTCGCTCCTAACCCCTCCGGCTTCCTCCTCGAAGCCTTGTTCCAGGCACAAACAGCGCACGGCGTCGATACCGCCAAGACGGCGATTACGCATCTGTTAGATGGACTCTGGGGTAGCATGGTAAACGATGAGCAGTATGCCAGCGGTGCGAGCTGGGAGTACGTGAAGCCGGATGGACGACCGGGCATAACGGCATTTACGAGTTTGGCGCATCCGTGGGGAGCGGCGCCTACGTATGTACTGCCGGAGTATTTGCTGGGTGTTACGCCCGTGACGGCTGGGTATGCGAGGGTTGTGGTGCAGCCTGCGGTGGGTTACCTTGGGTTGGACAAGGTACAGGGACGGGTCCCGACGCCGTTTGGGTCGTTGGAGGTGGGGTGGACGGTTGAGGGGGGTAAGGCGAAGGTTGAGATTGAGGTTCCGGAGGGGATTAAGGGTGAGGTGAGGGTGCCGAAGGGGTGGAAGGTAGACGGGAAGCAGGAGGAGGGTGGTATGATGGAGTTGGGGTCAGGGACGACTGAGATTGTTTTGTGTACTGTGTAGATATGTGGGTTGATAAGCGTAATTAACTCTGGGCTTTGTTGCTTGAATATATTTGCAAGGCTTCCAGGGGCCCATACAAACTCTTTCCTCAATAACACGGATACTTGCCTATTTCCATAACAATTCGTACTAGTCGAATATAAATATATGTATTGATCAGAAGTAGACCGTTCTCACAGGTCGCCGTGCCCAGACTTTGACCTTTTACTTCCCCAAGCATCCTGACTACGAATTCAAGAGGGCAAGAATGTACAAAATCGTGCAGGGTAGCACTGTGGGTGTAAGGGGGTAGAAAGAATAAGTAAAATGAGAGTGTTAGAAGAGAGAAAAGATAACCCAACGCCCCTTTCTCACTGATATCCAAATCCAATCCTCTGAGCCATCCTAACGCTCAAGAGGCCGATAGTTCTGTCTTGAACCTAAACGAATCCCAAACTCCAAACTCCAAAAGGAAAAAATAGAAAAACTCTCTGACTACACAGCTTTACAAGATTGTGTTCGCCATTCACGCCACATAGTAAAGCTTCATGGCACTTAGCACTCTCTTCCTGCAGACTGGGCAGCTCTGCACCTCCCTTGCGCAAGGAAGACAAGCCACAACGTGTCCGCAGTCGTAAAAGGCAGCCTCAGCATCGCCGTCCCAGCAAATTCTACAAAGCCGTTCGGCCTCTTGGGCATTCTTCCAGTGCGTAACGCCTTCGCCAAACTTCTTGTCGTTTTGCCATCCACCAACATATGTATTGCCGCTCGTCGCCTCGATGTACGTGCCAGTGCCGTGTTGCTGGTCGTCAACCCAATCGCCATCATACGTATCGCCGTTCTGGAACGTGTACAATCCGTGGCCATGGCGTTGATTTAGGCGGAAGGAGCCATTATAGACGGCGCCAGAGTGATAGATAAGAGTTCCGTGACCATGACGATAGCCGTTGACAATCTCGCCCTTGTAGCATTCACTCGAGAAGTAGTTGTATGTAAAGTGACCGTTGAGTTTATGAGGAAAGTTTCGAGCAAAAGAGCGGAACTTTAAATATGCCTGAGGTTCCGCAAACGCAGCACGGGCTGCGAGAGCGCCCTTTTGTTCAGCGCCGATAGGCATAGCGGCAATGATGATGCTTGTGTTATGAAGATCAAGTTGCGTAAATGTGCGACGGTGCCTAAGGGCGCGTGTAGTACCAATATCCTCTTCTTCCCATATTTCCAGCTTCTTCTTCTCTTCTGCTGGAAGTCCGAGCAGAGCAACGATCGTCTCATCAACCCTGTGGGACTTGAGAGTGACGTGCGAACCCTTGGATTCCAGAGCCTGCTTTTCTGGGTTCCAAAACTTGAGGAAGAAATAAATTTCATCTGCTGGTGGCTTGGGCGAAGGGGTACGCGCTGGTGGAGGTGGCTGTATATGCTCGGGAGGTGGCTGTATATTTTCGAAGGAAATGTCCATTGGTGGTGGCGGAAGAGGCGGTACTTCCTCTTGCGTGCCACCCATCTCTGTATCATCAGGCGTTGAACTCGGGATGACCACGTCGACAGCCGGTGGATCGGTCGCAGGAGTTGACTCTACCTCGATCATAGCAGTATCATCAGTTTGAGCAGGCTCTGTGGGCAATGGATCTTCGTGTTGCCTAACAGAAGGTTCGGAATGATCAATCTGTGCAGCAGCAGGCTCCTCTGCCTCGCTCATAGGCGTGTCTTCTACCCTTGCAGGTAGCTGGGGCGGCTGTGAATTCGACGGCTGTTCCGCAGTGTTTCCATTCACCTGTGGGCTCACTACATTCTCTTGAGGCTCCTGATTAGTTGAGGACGAAGGCAAATCATTTGCAGGTAGCTCAGGCACTTCATTCTCCTTTTCTTTGGGCAGCTCAGGGAGCTTTTCGTAATCGGTAACATGCATCCATATCCTCCGATATGCGACTGGAGACTCCTCTAGCGTCCACTCCTTACTATCAGTGTATTGGTCGTAGCTGCCAGCGGAGAACTCTATCCTCCCAGTACCAAGAAGATTAGGCCTGCCGAGTGATCCTCGCATTGGGTCCAGGAACCAGAACTTGATTTGTCGTGGATCTTTGACGCCCATGAGCGTATCCATCAATTTGGCGCGGATCTCCTTGCAACCATCTTGATCTGAAAACGAGACCGTATGAATGAATTCCGAGTTCGTGTCCGCCCATTTTGAGTCAAAAGCATCAAAGAGACCAGGTCCTTCATGCTTGAGGAACACCCGGGATTCGATAACCTGGAACTCCAATGTCTTGGGCGGCTTTACTTCCGCAGTCGGCTTTGCTTCCGCAGTTGACTTTGCTTCAGATACCGACTGCTCGGTGGGGATCGTTGGTATCGGTGTAGGGCCTCTGGAACTCTTTCTGTTCTCTATTTCTAGCTTGATCCACTCCGGCACTTGCCATTGTTCAGACTCGGTGTCTGACACAAAAGCTGACTGAGTTACGTCGTCGCGTACATACATTGCAATGTACGCGATTGGATCATTACCAACAACCTGCTCTGTGCCGGACTTGCCTTCATGAAAATCGACTGCAAGACGTTTAGGGAGGCACCTCACTTGGTTTTCTTCCTTGCTGTCCGAATAGCTGTACCAACGAGATCCGGGGCCCTCTGGTCGAATGATGGGCTGATACACATACGACTGTAGGGTCTGCTTATGAACTACAAATCCGTATAAAGTGTAAGCGGTGTCGTTGACTGTGACATTGTCATCCAGCGTAACTTTGTTGAGCAGTTTGATGTGAGAACGGGTTTTTGTACCGTCGAATGCGTGGCGCTCCAACTCAATGGTCAACAGCTCCGGTAGCGGTTGCCCGGGAACAGTAAAGCCATTCGAGCTATTCACAGCCTCCTGCATGCTGTCCACACCCACGACAGGCACGCGATAACTTGGCACATTACTCGAGTGATCGCGCTTTGGCCCACAGATGGCGTGAAGCTTCGCCAGATGAGGCGTGTCCTGAAGCTCCTCTTCAAGCTTGAGCCGTAGGACTTCCCACATCTCGATTACATCTAGCTTATTGAGGCCTTCGTGTATACCGTACCAATCAAGGGCATCCAGGATGTCGTCGAGAGCGACTGCGCCGGCTCCTGGATCCACTTGGGTTCGCAACATATACAGGACTTGCTGAAATGCAGTGACAAGCGGCTTTGGACGAACCAACGGCTCTTCATTAGGATCCAGCACGTTTATGCTGTACAATAATTGGCGAAAAGGCTTGAAGAGCATCCATGTCGCAACCGCTGAGATCATGTTCCCACCTGGCGAACTGGCGTCTTCTCCAAGCGCAAGACCCTGCAGTCCAGTCATTGCAAAGCTGTCCCAGATGTTATCTCGGATAGGGTGCTCCCATAAGCAGTCCGTCTCATCATTGACGACGCGAATGTACGCGGTAAATGCGAGCTTGTCATCTCGGAGTAGTGCCATTCGCTGGCCGTGCATGCGGCGAGGTATCTCAAAATAAGGACCATGGAATCGCGTCCAGCCCCAATCTGGAGAACCACTGCAAAAGCGGTGCAAAGCATTGCGTGAGTAGTTCACGCGAGGCTCTGTCGGGTTGTACAGAACAACGCATATCTGCGCAGCCACGCTATGGCGCTTGGGCACCTTTTTCGATCCAAGAAGCGGTAGTGGAGCATGCTGGTATTCGACTCGGGGAAGTGGGGCCGTCGCGTCCGTAGGCGTTGATCCAGCCTTTTCACGCCGCTCCGGTGCGGAGTCTGACGTATTTCCGGTAGATACCGTAGAGTCGCCAGACTTGTCCTCGTCTTTTGGCTCACTAACGTTTTGTGTTGGGGCGTCGTTACCAGTTTCTTGGTCGTCCTTGTCCTTTGGATCCATGACACTCAAGCACTCCAGATAGACACTGAGGTATTCGGAGTCATTCCCCTTAGGATAGAACTTGATCTGCCACTGATGTCCGCCAATGGTGACGACATCGGACCTCATGAGAATTTCATGATTGGGCTTCTCCCGTGTTCCGTTGTAGGCATCAATGGCCCAGTGGATGCGGCCCGCCTCGCCAGCAGTATATTCCGGATCTTCAAGCGACTTGAAGGCCTCCTTCTCCCAGTATTCGTGGTCCAAGGCGCTGTGTTCGCCTCGCTCTTCGATGTACCGGAGTTCGTCTTCATCGGGCGAAGACATGTCTTCTTGAAGCGGGTGCCATGGCAGATGCTCTTCGTCCTCGTCTGAGGAATCAGTGTCGGAACGTGCGGGTTCGACGGGTGGTGGGGGAGGCGGGGGCTGTAGGTTGAGAGGGGCGGGCGGAGGCACAGAGCCAGGGTCTACGGGTGGAGGGGGGATCGCGTTTGGAGGAGCATCAGCCTGGGTGTGTGTTAGTGTTGGGTCCATTGAAACACGCAAGTCCAAGACTGAATGTAAAGTGAGGCTTACAGAGTCGTCTGGTACAGGGGACAGGGGTGTAGTGATAGTACTATCCTGTGCCTGGGAAGACGAATGGTTCAGTAGTAATGCGTCCGGCTCAGCATCGGGCGTCACGTCCATGACATCCTCGTCTATAGCAGAGATCTCGACAGCGACTGTGTTAGTGGAGGCGTCGCGATGAGTGGCATTGTCTCCGTCCTGCATCTCAGCATCGCTCCGGTCGTGGTCCTGGCCAGTGGGCGGCAATGTGTTGTTGATGGAGGCGCTCACGTCCATGTCGGCAGCAGGCTGTGGTTGAGGAGAGGCAGACGTGTGAGCATGAAGCAGATGGGTTGGTGAGCGAGAAGGACTTGAGAGCTGCTGGCTAAAGTGCAGCGGCTGTCGCTCGACGCTGACACTCATGGTTGAAGAGTAGATGAAGGCGCATGTGAAAGCGAGGAAGGAGCGTTTGACGTGTTTGCGAGTGAAGCAAAGATGAACGGCTGGGTAAAGATGCGAGACAAGGGATTGGCGAGAGGAAATATGCACGAGGCTGCAGGTAGGCGGACGGCTGCTGTTATCGGTGAGGATCAACAAGTCGGTAGTGTGGTCGTGTCGGCGAGCAGGTAGCACGGGGGATGTAGTGTGAAGCTCAGACGGATGGCACGCGGGGGGGTTTATCTACTTGGGGCTGTGGGAGAGGGAAGAGCTGGAGAGGCAGGGCTCGTGTGGGAAAAGGTGAGGTCAGGTACAGGCGTGGCTGGAGCTTAAGAGAGAGCTGCAGCCTACCAGCGTGCGGCAGCTTGCCAACAGAATAGAGTAGAGTGAGGCGGTAAAGCTGCCTGGCAATCGGCCGACCCCCCCTAGGCAACGCTATTCCCACCACGCCGCAGAGTTGACGTGGAGGGCGTCGCCATCAGCACCAGGCGCCCTTTTGCATGCTCTCATCGCGGGGCCTGGGGTGCTTGAGTCATCGCATAGGCGTAGGGCTGCGTGGCATGGTTCGCCGCTCATTGGCATCATCATCATGGAGGAATCGCGGCACCTCAGCTTCGCGCTGCTGCTTATCGATTGCTCCACAGTCACCGGCTAGCCAGGCAGTCACGTTAGCGTGGTCGGCCCAGTGGGGGAGGTGGGCCCGATCGCGCCTTCCCTGCGTCAGCTCTCTCCGCACCATCAACGTTGCTCCATGCAAAACTCGCTGCAGCTTCACCTTGCACAAGCCATGCCCGTCATTCCAATGCTCGATTTTTTGTTTGGTTTCAATTAGTCTTCTGCCTTGGCGGTCACTCGTGCAAAAGTCGCCGCCACAATGAGCGGGAATACTACCGTTGCTTCAGCGTACACCTTGACACTGTCTCCATCCAGCTTGATCTTCCCCCAGCTGACAGCCTCGTCCGGCCGCGCGCCTGCGTCGCTCCCATCAAACTCCTGGGCCGTGTTGATGTAGACGGCGCTCTCGGCGCCATTGCGCATCAGGTTCGCATTAGCAATGTGGTGCTTCACCAGTCCCCCACCCAGGACAATCATGCCTGTCCGCTTTGCTCTGACCGCAATCGTGTTGATCTTGCGAATGTCCTCTACAATGTCGACACGCAGCTGCTCTGGCGAAGACTTGAACGTGTGAAAATACAGCATGTCGCCCAGACTTCCATCCGTGAGAGCTGGGCAGAAGACAGGGATGTCGTTCTTCCATGCCCAGTAGTAGACAGATCGCTCATCGTTGATCTCCTTGCCCAGGCGGTGGATGACCTTGCTCGGGGTCCAGTGCAGCGGCTCATCAGTCTTCTTGCTAGCCTCCTGCTCCTCGAGCATCTTGTCGAGAATGGGCACGACCCAGTCCTCGAAGGCGCAGTAGTTGCTGTTGGGGACCACGAGGTTGCCGATGCGGTTCATGCCCTTTTTGCGCAGGCCGGCGCCAGGCGTGGAGAAGGAGCCCAGGTAGGTGGGGGCGAGACACTTGATAAAGTCTTCCTCAACGCCGCCGGCCGTGGTGACAATGGCCGAGACATGTTTATGCTGGACCAGGTAGCGCAGTGTTTCGCGCAGGCCCGACGAGATGAGATTGGACGTATATCCGAGAAAGATGGTGGTGCGGTCGCCCGTCTCAGGGTCTCTCCAGGCGCGCTGTCAGGTATTAGCATTGACCCCTAGTGTGGACGGTAGGCTCAGCGGTGGTCGTGTATGGCTAAATCAGGCTAAACGTTTCGCCTTTCGGGGACAATGGCTAGGAGCGGCGCACGGACGGCAGCCCTCCCGGCGGCGTAGCCAAGGGCAAGTGCAGTCTCCGCACTTGATGCTGGCACTGGCACTGGCACACGCATGCGGACGATCGGGACAGAAGCAAGCAAGCAAGCAGCCAACTCACCATGTCATTGATAATCCGCACAGCCGCTCCCACCGAGGTTGCCTGGAAGCCCATGGTGGCATAGCCGCCCACGAGCTCGTCGACGGTGATGGGGCGCGCCGCATGCTGGTTGAAGTCGATGCCCTGCACCTGCTGCACACCCTCAGGCACCGGCTCGGATGGCTTCAGCACGGCATCTGTGGCGCCGGCGGGTGCGGACGAGGTGCTTGCCATGGCCGAGTGCGCGTCACGATGGGCTCTGTAGCCGCAGACGAGGACGAGGACGAGGACGAGATGGAGGAGGGGGGTTCGGGGTATTTGGGCGTTGGCGACTGACTGTTGGAGCACGCAGAAAGTGCACCCTGCAAGGCAGTGTGGCGGCAGATTTTGAGGAAAAAGAGCCCCCACACCCGTGGCCAGGAGGAAGGCTAAGGCGTGGCACTGGCACCCTTGCTTGTGTGAGGCTAGTTCTCGGGTCGATCCCCTCTCCTCACGGTCAGCGGGCGCGGCCAGGCTCTGCTCGTCGTCGCCGTGTGCGTACAGTACAGTGCATGCGCTGGCGCAGGCGAGGGCAGCTTGGGCAGAGGGGGTCGCGTCGGCATGCCTCTCTGCGGCCTTGTGTGGCAGTCGAGGAGCGAGGGCGGTGGTGTGCAGCGGGCAGTGTGAGTGTGGCCCCAACCGGCTTAGCGCGACCGGGGCAGAAATCTGAGGCAAAACCAGCTGCTGCCACCCCTGCAGGAATCGCGAATGTCCAAGTCGGCGCCCAATCACACGCGCCCTCGCAGGCCTGCATGGACTCCCTCGCTAGCCGTTGCAGGCCAACCGGGGCGTCCATTTTGACTTGCAGGCATCCGTCATGGCTGGGTGTCAGTGCTTCGTTCTCGTGTTCTGGTCTCCTCGACGTTCCCCTTCCCATCATCACACCTTCGTTGCGACGACGTCTCTCTGCACGCCTCCATGCCGTAGCAGAGCCCCAGTGCGTAGCCCGGCGAGACAGCCCCTCTCCTTTCCACCTCTCTCCAACCTGCCAGTCGCTGCCTCACGTGCCCGGGACTCTCGCTCACAAGCCATCCCAGCGCCACGTCGACGGGCTGCACAATCTCTCCTACACGGCTCCCGGCGCCCTCTACCGGCCCCGACACGCTGCACCAGCTCCAGCAGCTGCTCTGCCCAGCCTTCTCCGCTTCCCGCCCCCATTGCACGCGTTTCCACCGCGAGACGCACGCTTTGGGCGCCAGAGACGACGGTAGCAGATTGAATCTCAGCGCCCGGCGCCGAGAAGCTGCGCCTGTTCCACCGCGGATCGGGGATTTGGCGCTTTCCCTCATTTCCCTGGTTTCAAAGCACGGGCCCTGCCGCTAGCGCCTCGTCTATCACGGCCTTGCAAACACGAACCTTGAGTTACGTACCTGACCGACGTCAACCTACGACACCACGCCTGGCTCGACGAATCACGCATTTGGCCTTCTTCTTCCATTCAACCCTATTCTCATCCAACTTGCCCGCCGCCCGGAACACCTGTGCTGCTACTCTGATCCGATCCTTGTACCACTGCACCATCCACACCATCAATCCAGCCAATCCAACCAACCCAATCAATCAGTCAATCCATCACGCGACCACGCTCTCTAACGACGGCAAATCGCTTCTTACCTGGCCGCTGAACCCTCCTTGTGCCCATGCCGCAATTGGAGTTTTCATCCACAGCAAGAGACCACCATCATGTCTGCCTCGCGGTACCCCGACAATGGCAGATACCCACGCGACAGATCTCCGCCCTACCGGGATCGAAGACCATCGGCCTTTGGAGGTGGTGGAGGATACCCCCCAAGGGGTAACGAAACCTTTCGCCCAAATGCAGAGCCAGCCGGCTTCCCACGGGAAATCCCCAAAGGCCCCAAATCACTGGCGGATGCGCCACGTGGTCCACCAGCTGGGCCACCCTCAGGCGCATCCCCAGCTCCACGTGATGAAAGAGCCCGAGGTTTCGCTGGACGCGGTGAGGCAACTCCACTGCGAACCGCGCCTCCACTTAGCAGCGGACCTGGATTCTCACACAACTCCCAAAATTCTTGGAGAGCAGACCGCGACCGAGATCGCGACTTTGATCGGCGTGAGAGAAGACCAACTCCACCACGCCGGTCGCCCATTCGAGATTCTAGGGATCTGCGCGACCAGAGAGACTTTGTACCGCGTGATCTAGATGTCAACCGCGCTCGACGCAATTCACGAGACGGCCCTCTCTCAGCAGGTTCAACGTACTCTGACCCCCCTCCTCTTGGTACAGCATCATCCTACCGTGGTGGAGGCATAGGCCGAGGACGAGGTGGGTTTGCAGGACGCGGTAGGAATTTCCATGGGGATGATCGGGACCGACACCACGATCCACGTGACCGGATACCAGAACGTACATCATATCGCCCTAGAAGCCGGACTCCTCCTAGACGTCAAGAACGGGATATTCGAGAAGAACGCGACTTCGACCGAAGAGACCGTGATGACCGAAGGTTTCCCCGAGAGTATGATTCTTACATTGGTCCTGCAGGTACTGCAAAACCCGGATTGCGCGCACTAGACACCCACCGTGGACCAGGTCCCTCCGATCTAAGGCATCTTCCAGGCACACCTACAGGACCAACGCCTCATTCTTCTCATCATGCATCTCCGTCTGATAGGTTGGGCTCACAGGGAGATTCATATCCAAGACGGCCTTCTCTTGCCATCGATCCGCTCTCTGCCAAGGATGTCCGTCGGGAACCTGGTAAGGACGAGGCCCTGTTAGCCAGCCGTGCAGAAGCATCGAGGGAACGATATGCTCCGCGAGCATCATCACCTCCCGCTTCGATCCCGGCATTTGGTGGGTCTAATGTGTGGAGAGCACCCATCACTGATATCAAACCAAGCACTGCTCCAGCAGCACCGCCAAAACCTGCCCAACCTGCTCCAGCACCCTCCGCGGCTCCTCCCACTCCTTCAGTTCCTACAACCCCTGCTATTTCATCTGGACCTGCTGCTTCGACTGCGCCTGTTGTTCCCACAACACCCGCAAAAACACCCACAGTTCCTACTGCTCCCAAATCCGCTATTCCCTCTGGCCTTACCACCGCTCCGCCTACTGGACCCAAGGCTGATCGTGCACCGGATCGCCCTCCGCTTAATGATGCACCAAATCTAGAGAGCAGGCCTGGCCCTCCACCTCCTCCACTTCCGCCTCCCCAGCGGATGGAGCCACCCGCTATTCCGCCTGCCACTGTTTCATCCCATACCAATGACGCATCTAGCTCGGACACCGTAGCTGTCAAGGGTCCTGTAACGCCACAAATGCCTACGCCACCCAAAGGTCCTTCGAATGTACCATCTGCTCCTCCAACAGCACCAACGGCCCCATCGAACACGGCAAAATCTCCGCCCCAGGGCCCAGCTCCGAGGCCACGTGCGCCGCCAACTGCTCCCCAAGCTGCCCTGAGAGCCAATGTTTCGCCCTCATTCTCAAGAGCCACTCTTCCGCCATACACCCCTCGGGATGCATCTCCCAACGCTGCTCCTTCCACATTTGGACCCCGCGTTGGTAGTGGAAGTGGGCCTGTAATGAGTACTTCTCCCAAGAGCCTCCCAGCGAACATTCCGACTGGTCCAAAAGCCGACAGAACACCAATGGCTCCTCGGCCGCCTCCACCATATAATCAAGCTGATAGATCTGGGTTCCCGCTGGCCAGGGGCCCTTTGAGCGGAGGCCCGAAGAGCATGCAGTGGGTGCGGCCTGGATTCACATCGAACCGGCCATCAATCCCAACCAAGCGCGAGTTTCCCACAGAAGATCGTGAGCGATCGTTTGGAAATGCTCCTAAAGCTCCGAGGCTTGAAAACAGTGTTTCGGCTACACAACCACAGCGGACGTCACAGGCAAAATCAGTGTCGCCTTCGTTTTCTAGAGTGTCGACTGATACCGAACGGCCTAGAGAACGAGCCTTGTCAGCAGAACGGCCAGTCATGCCTTCGCCTAAACCTACACCGATCGAAACCAGACGCCATTCTGATGTCGTCATGGCAGAGGCGTCGCCTCAAATGGCCAAGCCGCCAATGTCTGCTGCATCATCCGCGCCGGAAGCTTTACAAGACTCTGACGACGATTTGGATCTAGATGAGGAGGACTTTGCTGAGTCGGAAGCGAAATACAACCGAGAGCGGGCTCGTTTGGAGGCCAAGCGTGTGGATTTGAGTGCTTCACACTTGCGCGCCCTGACGCCCTTGCAAGAAATTGCTCTACTATCTTGCCTAACTGTCGACCACCTTCCACAGGCACGGCCTGAACTGGCATCCGCAGAAGAGATAGGTACACCTTTGCCTCAAGAAGAATCGGTTCCATTGTCTGCCAAAACAGGGCCTGACATGCTATCAGCTCCTCAGCCGCCACCAGACAGTACTACAGCAGATCTACCAACGCCGAGAGCTGAAGACTCTGAAGACGTCGAAATGGAAGACAAGGAAGAGGTCGAAGAAAGGTCCACAGCACCTGCTACTATGGCACTACGCCTTCGCCGGGAGACTTCTGCTGATCAAGAGACTCTTCCTGACCTGAGTTCGCTACCCTACCTTGGTTCTGGCCCTCCCACACCTTTATCCGACATTGGACAAGACCACCCCGCCTTACCAGACTCTGTCATGGATGTTATTCGGAGCAAATTGCGCAAGAGCATCGAGCCAGAAACGAGCATTGATCAGACGCTTCGACGATATGCTGCTGTGTACAAAGAGTGGCGACTGCATATTCGACCATGGGATGAGGAGCGCGAGCAGGATGAAAATGATAGGCAACCATCTGCGGAGCCATTGCTGAAGGCTGTCACTCCTGATGCGCAAAACGCTGCCATGACCGGAATACTTGATGGATCTCTAGCACCTACAGGCCGAAGAAACCACGCGAGCCGGTGGGCTACTGAACTGGATCTCGAGGCTGTTATCAAGGAGTCTTTGAAGACTGCTGAGGAAGAGAAGCTTGGAAAAAGAGACAAGGAACCGAGAAAGGCCATGGCTGACCCTGAAAAAGAAGCAGATGTACCCCTGGAATTGACCGAGGCTGAGGCCCAAAGGCGCAGATTCATTGATTACAACTTCCAGCGCGAACCCGGCCAGGGCATCTTTGTGTTCCACTACGAGCCACCAGAGGATGACTTCACACCTGAAGAGCATCGAGTCATGGTATACAACTACAAGGACCAATATGCCAAGAAATGGGGCAAGCTGGCTGAGGTCTTGTACAAGGAAGTTGGAACTGAGCGCACCTACAAAGACTGTATCAATCACTACTATGCGACCAAGTGGGGCAGAGAGTACAAAGGCAAATTGCGGAAACCGCGTGTTTCTAGGAAACGTGGTGGAGGCGTCAGCCGGGGCCGTAGTGCTATTGCCAACATGGATCGAACTGAAGTGCAAGGCGAGGACGGACAACCCTTGCCCGTCACTGAAACTGGACGCCCCAGACGCTCGGCTGCACCAACATTTGGTCCCACGGAGACAGATTTTGATCCGATTTCCGGAAATGTCACTCCAGCCCGGGCCCGCAGGCAAACTGACACCGACGGCTCGCAAGAGAAGGCTGGAAGACGAGGAAAGCCCTCAAAGGAAAAGCTTGGTCGCAAGCCAAAGAACATGCCACTCGCTGCGGCCCCCGTGGGCTCTGTTGTCAAAACCGATCGGAAAGAAAAGGCTTTCGGTGTCAAGATGGAGGATGATGCAAGTAAACGACCATTGGATGAGATGCCCGTGCCCATGCACGTTGTACCTATGGAGGAGCAGGTAGTCATGTCCAGTGATTTGCAGCAACTCCCTGGTATGCCGGGCAGTCTTATGGAGCGTCCCAAGACTCAGCCTGGTGCGAGACCTGGGCCATCAAGCTATTGGTCGGTTTCAGAGTTACAGGACTTTGACAAGAACGTTGCACACTTTGGTACGGACTGGATTGCAATTGCGAACCATATGGGCACCAAGACGCACACTATGATAAAGAACCAATACCTCCGCCTTGTGGAAAGCGGCAAACTGGACTTGGAACAAGTCGCAAAAGAGGCAGATGCACGAAGGGAACGCGGCGAAGATCTTGGGCCACCACCTACGCCAACTCCGGCACCCAAGAGACGATATGAGAGTACACAAGCGGCACCAGTCCGCCCCATTGCGCCTACGCCTGAACACGCTTCTCCACCTCCAAACGCGCTTGCGCTACCCAAGGCATCCCCACCGCATCCTAATCCCTCTTCGAGGTTTCCCAGTATTGCCCAAGGGCCTATGCAGAGCAAGCCACTGGTACCTAATTCGGGATTCCCTGCCCTACAGGAGACTAGCCTTGCGTCTGTAACTTCAATACCACCACAGCAGTCACCACCCGCTCCACCCCAACGTGCCCAGCCACATCCACAGCCGCAACAGCAACAGCAACAGCAGCAGCAACAGCAACAGCAACAGCAACAGCAACAGCAACAGCAACAGCAACAACAACAACAACAACAGCAGCAGCAACAGCAGCAAGCACAACAAGCACAGCACCACCATCACCACCAGCATTCCATGTCGCAGCAAAAGGCACAATTGCAGGGACCCCGAGCAGGGTATTTCTCAGATGACCTGCCGCCGCGTTTTGAGAGCCGGCCACCTTCGCAACCATCAAGTAGCCAGCAGTCACATCGACCGTTACAGCAGCATGCCACTCCTCAGCCACGCGTCCAAGAGCAACATCATTCTCCTGTCTACCGCGGCCTTCATTACCAGGAACGAGACACTGTTGTCAGATCTGAGCACCCACAAGAACAAGAGATTCAACGCAGGATCCATGAGCAACATGCTCGCCGGATATCCACAGAGGTGCCACAGCACAGGCCTTTTGCTCCCAGCGGCGCACCGCCGATTATGGCACCCGTACGTTCAAGCTCGGTCTTGAGATCCCCAGAACACCGTCCCTTGCCATACTCGCACTCCCGGCATCCATCGCAAGTCCAATCGCTCAACCAAACCACTGCCGAAGTATTCTCTCCAGGATCCAACGCCAGTCATATCGGGCAACAACTGCCGCCTCGCTCGACAATCCTTACGCCACCTGTTAAAGAAGAGCCTAGGAACATGACACCTTCTGCAATCCCTCCAGCTCAGCCTCAACCAATGCTCCATTCGCAACTGCAACACCCGCAACGCAATCAACCACCTATGCACAACACTCCACCGCCCGTTGCACACAAGCCCGCTCCTGAACCACGCAAATCGAATCTCATGTCTCTGCTAAACGACACCGATCCAGAAGAGCCTAGACGTAAGAAGCCGAGCGAGCAAGGTCCGCCATCGCACAGCTCTACCCCTCAACAGTCAGCACCAGTCGCGCCTCCTCCTCCTCCGACAACCCAGAGCTATTCATCATCGTCAAGACGCCCGCTATACGAAGACCCAATTGCCGTGCAGTCTCCTTACAGCCGTTCATCATATTCTCAGCAATCCTCGCTTCCCGCCGCGGCATCGAACAGACCCATCGACCTTACGGACGACAAGCCATCAGCAAGTAGGCCAAGCTTGCGTGAAACCTGGCAAACTCGACAACCGTATCACCCAGGGATGAGCCAGACTCCGCAGCTAACCTCTATCCCATCCTCACAGTCTGGGCTGGCTCAGGGACCTCCTAACGAGAGAATGTTCAATCATCGATCTGTCTTCGCTCAGCACAACACCCCGCGTCAAAATGCAACTCCACCTCCTCTTGCTGGATACAGCAGTTCGTCAAATCCGCATTCGCGCGCTTCGAGTATAAGCGGACCGCCAGGATCAATGTCCCGACATGCTATGCCTGGCACAAGTGCAGCACAGCATGTGCAGGCAATGAACGCATCTGCGCAGTCTGCGCAAATTCTGCAACCCAACCCATACGCTCAGGTGGATCCACCAGGCAATGGTCCCCCATCTGGTCCAATGGGTATGCGTCCCAGCCCACGTTTGCAGGCAAATCACGCTGTGCAGCAGAGAGAGCCAGCTGGACGCAACGAGCATTCGCAGGCTTCGAACGCAAACATGTCTTATTCCAACCCACAAACGCCGAATGAGCATCATGGACAGCATCCTTTCCAGGGTTTGAACAGACTGACAGAACCGTATCGCCCTCGCGATCCTCGGGACGCTCACGAAATGGACCACCGACAACTATCAGATCGCGACACTAGCCGTGAGCTCTCTCAAAGAGCTGATTACTTGCGCGAACAACATTCCAGCTCCGCAATGCGTTCGACGGGTCCGCCGATGCATGAAGATTTGCGCTATCAACCTCAAGATCGAGGTTATCTTGGTCAGAGGTCTCAGACTCAAACTCCACTTTCAAGGTCTGAGCATAGCCAGCCTCCACCTCTGCAACACCCACCTCACTCGTCACTTGGAGTGGCAAATCACTCGTTATACGGCCAACGCCCTCCCCCCGAAGAGCCACCTCACCATTTCATGCGCAACCCTCGCGACCGAAGCATGACTGAGCGTCTCCGAGAAGAGCAAGCCCAGGCCCAGGCCCAGCACCATGCAGCAATGCAAAACCGCGACGAACACATGCGACGAGAAGCCGAGCGAGACATGCGCGAACGCGACATGAGAGAGCGCGACATGCGGGAACGTGAAGCCCGTGACGCGCACCACCACCGAGACAGCTTTATCAGAGCTAGCCATGCCAGAGGTGTGCCTCCTCCGCCAGCTGGTGCTGGTTCGGCACCGGGCTCGCTGCCTGATCAACGACTACCTCCTACAGGTGATTGGGTCACGGGTGTACCTAGACACCCTGGGGATCGTGGGCCATGGCAGCGGTAGATGATGACTGATGAGGGATGCGTGTCATGTCTCGCCTTTTTTTCTTTCTTCTTCTTCAAACGAGAGGGTGAACTTGTTGTTTGTTCGTTTAGTTGGTTTAGTTGGGTTTCTTGGGGAAGGGAAGAGAGAAAGCGATGTCGACGTTACTTTTGTCTGTCTATCTACACTACCATGGATATATATATCTTCTGTTACTCGTTCTGTTCTGTTCTCCTTCGTCTCTGATTTTCTAGCAGGAAAGTTTTTTTTTCTTCGTTTTTTCTTTTCGTATGTCGAAACTTGTAGATGAACAACATTTATTTTTATTTACACACAATATATATCAACTGTATTTGTTTTCTGTTTTGTGTTTGTTTGTTTTTATCGCGAAGATTACGAAAGAAGTGGGATTGATGTTGTGGCCTTTGATATCAGCGGTACAAGAAAGGGAAGAGAGAATTTGGAAAGAATTGTTTTATTTTATTTTTTTCGTTTTGAGCGAAGAACGTTATATAGTTTGATATAGCAATAGAAGTCTCTCTCTCTCTCGAAGCGATATGATGATATCCCAGAGAGAGAATAATTCTTTTCTCACATTGAAAATCTCTTTAATTGTGTTTTATCCTCTCTTCTTTCTCTATAGCCAACATTTTCGTAGTGTATACGGCCATTGTCTACTTTTATCTGTCTTACAACAGCACTTCTGTCTGTGTCCTAATAATACAAGCGAAGAAAGAAAAATCTTCGCGATGAAAAACAACCTAGAGGTTTTGATACAAGGTGATGTGGTGAAAAGTTGCAACGCTCTGTTTTTTTCCTTTTCTAAATGCCATGTTTATGGAGCCGACATCGTTCTTATGAAAGGATGTGAGGGAGACGGCGGGAGATGGTCTTGCAGTTGGGTGGAAACTGTGGAAATGGATGACCAGATTTGGTTATTTGTGGGGTTTTTCGTGGGTTCTTCACTCCTGCTGCGACATGTGTGTTGGGAAGTTGTAGTCTGTGTAGTCGATATGGACGAATGCACGGTCGACGTAGGGCACGCTTTCTGGAGGCAGTGTTAATACACATGTTGGTACAAGATGGGAGAAAAGGGGGAAATAACTTACCAAGAACATACTGCAGACTCTCGCCCAGATCGTGGCTATCCCTCAGACTAAGATGTTCATCAACGACGATGTCGACCTCGACATTCAGCTTGTCACCGGCATGGTATGCCTGGAGACCCTGGATTCGCTTAATACTCTTAGCGAAACGCATAGTCATGTAGAGCAGAATGTTCCTCTCGTCGGCAGTCGCACTCGCACCAGTCAAGTTACGAACGTGCTCTGCGGACGTGGCGCCCCAGTTGATAATGACGTAGGCAGAGAGCAAGATACCGCCGAGAGAATCGAGCCACCAGACCTTGGCAAAGTAGCCGACAAGCGGGAAGAAGATAGAAAAAGTGTTGAAGACGACATCGGTCATTGCGTCTTGGGCCAAGGCTTGTACACTGGAGTTGCGGATCAGGCGGCACCAGAGCCAGCACATACCCTTGATTATGACGGTGGAGGCCATGATAGCAACGGCGGGAATACCCAGTTCGACGATCGTGTGGTCTTTGCCGGTAAGCCGCGAGATACCCTCGATACCGACCTGGAAGAAGGAGGTCATCATGATGACGGAGAAGATCAAAACACCGATAGGCTCGAGTCGCCTGCGGCCAACGGGATATGCGTAGCGATCTTGACGTGCAATCATCCAGGAAGTGAACCACACGATGGCGGTAGAGAGAAAGTCGAGCGCGGCATCGACTAAACTGGCGACGACGGAAAGCGAGGATGTCATGATTGTGACGATAATCTTCAAGATCAGCAAAGCAGTGTTTGCGCTGAGATTGACGTAGAGGGCCAATTTGACAATGGGACTTTCGGTATCTTCGTCTTCTTCTGGTACCCAGTCCATGAGCTTTGACTTGGCTGCTTCAAGGTCGTCCTCGTCGTGAATAGCATTTTCATTTGCCAGTAGCGGCGTGTTCTCGTCAATCTCGGGGACTTTGTAGAGATTCTTTGGTGTGCGCTTGACCATGGGCTTCAGCGCGCCGTTACCATTGCCATTGAGACTCCCCGACGAACCAGTTCTACCCTCACTAGAGAGCCCAGGAGTGGTTGTACCGGAGTTGCGGCCGTCGGGGGCTGGTGTTCCTATAGACGAGGATTCCTCTGTGATTGTAGTGGGGATCTTGACCGCGCCCGATTCCAGGTTTGTGTACTCCTGAATGAGGTTGTGCGGTAGCGAAGAGTCGAGAAGACGATCAATGTACATGTAGTTCTGGATAAGCTGGTTGTTGCGCTCGTAGTATTCGCGGATCGGTTTCTTCATACCCTTGAGGTCTTCTTCATGTTTGTAGTATTTTTCCCACTTGTACCGGGGATTGGAGTTTCCGATCAGCCGTTGACTTCGCATCTGGGGTGTGTTGAGAATGTGTGCACCAATGCTACTCCTCCGGTCCGAATCACGGTCATAAGCCATCATAAGTCCGTGTCTGTATGCTTCCATATCCTCGTCCTCTGTGTCGCTACCGCGACGCTCGCTGCTGCGTATGGTTGACGGTCGGCGCGTGCTGTGCAGTAGCGAGGGCAGGTGGTGACCGCGCGTAGTAATGGCAGAAGCCTCATTCTGGGGAGAGAAGAGTTTCGAGTTGGTAAGACGGGGCACACTTGACGAGCGAGGGATTGTCGCCGTGGAGGGCGACGGGGGCGGTGGTGTGGAAGGGTAGTCAGTCATGGCGGCAATGGGGATGAAGAAAGTGCGCAGACGCGACGATTTGGGTTCACTTTGGTTGGAAGAAATGCCCAATGTCTTGAGATAAGTTTTGTGCGCGTCAACGCGGCAGAAGCAAGACAGGCGTGGGGGTGGAGTTGGTTATCGCACTGGCGCAGGATAACTGCGAGGATGATTGGGATCAGCGGAGAAGCTGGATGGCAGAAATATGTAGAAAAGTGCGCGGATTAGTCCACCACGGTGCAGATGCAGAGCGATATGCGGCCGGAGTGATGTTGCAGCGGAATCGTTCAGGCCTGAGGTGCAGAGTGCGCCGGGAACCGCAATACGGCCGTGGACGCGGCAGAATGCGACGAGGAGGTTCGCCGAAACAAGAGGGTCTTTCACCCAGGGCGGGATCGCCATGGCCTCGCTCCGTTAACTCCTGCAGATGCACCCACTTTAGCTGTGGCCAGAGCTCGCGCTGCTTGATCTGGGGTGTACCAGCCGAGATCGTCATTGGTTTCTGACAAAAGATTCGTCGCATGTGTTTCAAGCAGTCCCCGTCTGGCTGCTCGCGAACAAAAACCTCACATATGCTTCTTGGCGTTATAGGTTGGTGGCCACGGCTTTGCTAGGTCGCTATAGGCCAGGTCCACTCTGACCGGACTAATGTACAGCTGCATACCCTGAAGTCCGCACCTTTGAGGTTTCACGCTCCCCCCAACCACCTTGGCCAGGCATAGTGCAGGCGCTATATGAAACAGGGTCTTGAGATGACAGGCAATGTGCGCCATACCTACCTTACCCTGTTCTTATTCCCCGATTCTCTTCTCGGTGTCCTGAGTCCGCTCACCTTTGCCCCGTACTCCCCCACTGATCCCTTATGATACAGAACAGCCGTTCCAGACCCACCAATTACCAATTCCATAGCCATCCCGCCTCAAACAATCGTGGAAAATTATTGGCCGATGGCTCAACGGATGCCCAGCCGGACTGCTCAGTCGACTTGCAAGCCTGACTCGTTAAGACATCTTGTTTACGTGTGACAATAAATACATAAAGTTGTATGATAAGCTGTCACAAAAGTATGCTTCTTGTTAAGCGAGTCTTCTGGAAAGCTTGGCAATAAGACTATTTAATGAGCTGGTGAACGTCAGGATAAAACACGGTATCGAATTGAGCATTTTTCGTTGTTGACAGTATAAGATGAATCGGTCGAGATGGTCTTCGATCTCTTTTGGCATATGAGCCTTATCCACATGCCGTGAACCAGTAGAAGTGTTTGTAATGTTGAATGTGAGTTGTCGAACAAAGACGTAAAACTTGTCATGTCTATGATCCTCAGGTTATGCACACTCCTATTAGATAGAAGAAGGAGGAGATTGTTAATGGCATACGGTACATTTCATTCGTTTTGTTCCGTGGTTAGACGATTCACTCAGCTGCTTGTGAAGAGACATAGCGTTCGTGCAAAGGGATGGTTCTACACGCAAGCATGTCATGAGGTATCAAGACGTTATGGCGCTACATTTCTAAACTGGGGACATGCGCAGTGCACAATGCATTGCCGTATAGGAGTGTAAGAAGGTTGAAGTGGGGGGCTTGGGGCAGCCGCACTAGTATCACCAAAGTTCCTAATGCGGTCTAGCACTTCTGGCTGCTTGGCAGCGCACCATGGAGCTCGGCTAACAGCCTGAAATTCGCTTTTCCACGACAACGACAACTTCTTCGACATCCGACTACTCACAACAAGCAGTCAAGATGCCGGTATGATATCATCTCCTACGGTCATGATGCCCTGTAGGAACGCCTATTGACGATTTTTGCAGAGCCAAAAGTCATTCCGCACCAAGCAGAAGCTTGCCAAAGCGCAGAAGCAGAACCGCCCCATCCCTCAGTGGATTCGCCTGAGGACCGGCAACACCATCAGGTACGACTTACTCGCAGCATCCTCGGAGACTCCTGTGTCTATCAGAGCTGCATGCAATGCCGCAAGACAGGCTGGTCACGACCGTGAGAACTCGAACTGACATTGCACCCCAAGGTACAACGCCAAGCGACGACACTGGCGCAAGACCCGTCTCGGTATCTAAGCGGATCGCCCCCTTCAAGCCATCCCTCACTCGATTTCCGATTCCCAGCCACCTCTTTCGACGACGACAAGGACTGTACGAAACGAGCGATCATATTGGGAATTTCGCACATGGCGGGAACCGAGCGACCAGTCTTCTAAGCGAAGTACATCTGCAATACGAGGGATGCAGTGGGCGGTACTCTTTTCACGTTACCGGATACCTCCCTACCTCTGATTCACGGCGCTTTGGGTCTGTAAATGGGCATGAAAGGAATCGATTCATGATGGTTAGACTAGGCAGTGATGAATGAAACCACTTGCTGGGTCGCAATGAACAACGAATGGTGTTTTGATTGTGTGATGCAAGTCGCTCGCAGTTGTCATGTTGTGGGATTAATAACCAGAGCCGTTCTCATGGTATTGTGCTCCAGTACACGTGAATCGAGGAAGCAACCCGCTCGAATCCCAACAAGCAGCATGTGGCCATTGATACGGTGACGATACTGCAAAGGTCAAATGATTGGCATTATGTACTGCATTAGTCATGTACACCAACGACACTTGTGACGCACTTGGGAACATAAATCTTTGCAGGCTTTCCCACCCTAACCATTACTTCTACAACATCCCGAACAAGTTGACCTTCCACATCTGAGTCGCTAGCTCAAATGCTAAACTACCTCATGGACGACTGTATATACAGTTTACTCCAGAGCGTATCTGGCTTGGCTGGACTTGGCTGAAGCCAAGTGCCGCCACATGAAGCCACGCCACGAGAACCAGACACCAGCCGCTTTCTATTCCTATTACCGCCCACTTCTCACCTGAAACTTGGGACGATCCGCCAGATCCACGACCAAACAGGTCTCCTCGCTCTTTCCCGCCGTGTTGTAGAGACTGACTACGCCCTTATCGATACGCAAGACGGTACTGCTTCCCGCATAGCAAAGCCCCTTCTCCATTCCACATCGATTTGCCAAAATGACGCACACCGGTCTACCGCCTTTATCCTCGACGAGGGGCTGGAATCTTTCAACCCAATATGCCACAGTCGCTACATCCGGTTGTGATGGGTCCGTTGCGAGTTCAGTCGGTGAGAGATGACACAGCCAAGCCATTGAGACGCAGATGATAGGCGACTGAAAAGACAGTGCTTTTGAAGCGAATTCGTAGTCTGTCCACGGAGCGATGAACTTGTAAGGATTGATATCCATACATATGCCCAAGGTGATATTTCCTAGCTCTCCCAGCTCACCGGCGAAGAAGGGTGAGTCTGGGGATGCAGGATTGGAGAGGTTATGGGATTTTGAGCCTGGGCCCTCGGACGCCCATGTTTCGTCTGTGTAGTAGAGGAAGGATTTGCGGTAGTTGTTTATTACCTCTCCAGATGGCGACACGGTTACTATCGAGTTGTATTGCGTCTGCACATCCGCCGGGTTTCTAGAGGGTATTGTGATTTCTGGGTATCCGACCGTAACATGGCAGTTGTAGTGCTTTGCGGTCTGTTGGGCCCATTGGGTGGATATGCCCGCAGTTGTGGGCTCCAGGAAGGGCTTAATCTCCTCGAGCGAATGGAAGTTGTAGCCGGAGAAGGCGAGTTCCGGGAGGATAAGCCAGGCCAAGTCGGCAGGTATTTGGGTGGCTTTTAATATGCTCTCGGCGCGCTGGATATTGTCTTGCAATTCGCCTACCTCTGGGGCGAACTGAAGACATGCAACTTTCATATTTCCGGTTCCGTTGGTGCTGTTCTGCTTCGGGTGAGGTTTGGTAAGGTGTTGCTGAGAGGTGAGAGGGCGGGATATGAGAGTAGGTGGCGAGAGCGTCTTAGACACACCCTAAGAAGAGGGTGTTTGATTCACTAGCCGTCTAAAGCGATGTATTGGTCGGCCTAGGAAGGCCTTGGTCAATTGTTGAAGAACCAATCCGTGTACACAAAGGCAGTGGGTAGCAATTGTCCAGATAGCGATGGCATGTACATGAGTAATACGTTCGCTCGCTTGGCAGTCTAGAGCGTCAGATGACCTAGACAGATGATTCCGATAAGCGCATGCTCTGTTCCTTCTAAATAAGCTCAGCGAGGAGTGCAGTACTGCTTGTGGGTTGTGGGAGAGGCCCTTGGTGAACACGAAGGGGGCCAGCTTGTCTTGCCCCACTAGGGTTGATCGACAAGGCACGCTCGTCGCTAACTCAGGCCAAAGCCAGCCAAAGCCAGCCAATCGCGCAATTTGCGCCCTGGGGGAACATCGCTTGTGGCAGCTATGACGCCCATAGCTAAAGTGCCTTCTACTATGAACCTATCCACAAACACCACCACTACCGTTACCATCGCCATTCACAGGCTGCCCACGTGCATCAAAGCCATGCAGATTGCAAGCCGGTAGCCCATCTGCATCTGATCGCAATGGCAGGAAGACGGCTCGTTGACGCCGCCAAGCTCTTCAATGCCTCGAGAGGCGTTGCCCAGAAGCACATTGCACTTCGATCGAACCAGTGGGATGCTTACACAAAGACATCGTCGCTAGCAAAAGCCGTCAAGAATCAGACCGACCGCGTTACTCTCACGGCAGCTGCTGCCATCGCCCTCTCTCAACGCTTCAGCGAAGAAGCACCTTCGTACGCCAAAGCCGCGGCCGATCGAGCGACAGGCGGACAATGGACACAGCAGACATGGAAGTCACAGCAGTCACAGTCTGAGGATATTCCGAGAAGAGAAACAATCAACAAGGACCAGACGCCTGCAGGAAATGTAAAAGAGGGTGTAGAACAGGATCATCACTATGATCGCTCCACGCAGAATACAGTCAACACACCGCCGCCTACAGAGGAATTGGAAGTGGAGCAACGGGAAGCACCTAGATCACCATTACCAGATGGCACCATTCCGAGCAATGGGATAACCCTGGAGCAGGAGGATAAAGGAAAGGATGTTTTCTCGGAAAGACCGGTGCCTGAGACACCAAAGGATCCTCTAGCACAAGACCAGAATGAGCAAGCAAAGAAAAGGGAAGAGGGTCTGAAGCCGGTGGAGTCTACAGATACTACTATACCACTGCCTGGTCAACCGAGGGGTGAATCTACACCGAC